CCTTTTACACAGGGTTCATAGCCACATTTTAGTTAAAAGAAAAAAAGCACCTATAAGCACCTTTCAAGCACATTTTAAGAAAAAAATAAGCACCTGTCTACTTACATCATACACAACTGCAACCTTACAAATAACTAATTACAACACAACCTTACAAATTAGACTTGTAATTTAAAATATGAGAAATGAAGTACTTATTAAGAGAGAATAAGCATTATCTCAACAATGGAAAGAAATTATTTTTTTGTTTTGTTTTTAATTTTAAATAATAGTTTAATTTACAGAACTAGTTTACAATGAGAGGAAAAAAAAAAAAAAAAAACTATGAAGAACTAAATTATATTACAAGATTTAATGATGAAATTTCAGTTCAAAAATAGAGAAAATAAATAATAATAAGGCATATTTATTGTATTCGCTTGGAACCTAATAATAAATACAATTTATTTTTCCATTCATATTGATATTTAAATAATTTAAAACTAAATTCTAAACATTTTCTAAATTTTCATTGTGTATCAATTTTTTCTCTTAACAGATATTGCAAGCAAAGTAATTTAAGTAAAAAAGAGGAACATTTCTGAAATCAGAAGACAGAAAATTTGCTTCATGCAGTCATCTTTAAGCTTAACTAACCCGCATACTTGGAAATTGGCGAATATTCGGACAGTCGAGCGTAACTTGAATGAGCGGATGTGTGTGTGTGGGGGGGGGATGGACTGTAGCCGCTCTTTAGATTTTTCCGCTAAATAAATGCTTTTGAAATTTCAATATGTGCATCATATAAAATAAACCAACGGAACTAAAAAATATCCTGCTTAGCAAGCACAGTAAAACTCTTTTAAGTGTTCATAAACAAATCTCGAACTGAGCATCAAAATTAATTATCTCTGCAAAATATCGCAAACGTTATTGCGCAATACGTGCGCCGTAATTCTTCCCTAGGTGATATTACGCAATCGGAATTAACAACTACCGGTATTGGGAGAATAAAGAACTAAATAACTGGGGTGTTTTTTATTCTAATTTTCAACAGACGGCGTTAAATTTCCGGAATAGAATCATTCTTTGGGTTGGTAGACCGCAGAACTTTTAGTCCTATTCAATCCAGATTGGGTAAAATCCTAGTATACGGTGCAGCCTTGGCGCTATTTTGAAAATTATCGCCAACACCAAAAATGACCCAAACAACGTCTATGTACTATACACTATATACATACCCAAACAACGTCTATGTACTATACACTATATACATACCCAAACAACGTCTATGTACTATACACTATATACATACCCAAACAACGTCTATGTATATACTATACACTATATACATACCCAAACAACGTCTATGTATATACTATACACTATATACTAAGTATATACTATGTATAACTATAATATATTCTTTGAATGACCCGTTTACTACTCATCGTATATGTCCCGTTTTTATTGCTCATTATAAAGTCGCCAAATCCCGTGTGCACCGGATACTAGGATTAAACCCCAGATTGGAAAGTGACCAATAAATAAATAAATAAATGAAATAAAAAAGGTCCGTTGCTTGTTTTACAGCGAACTGTAACAGTTTCAATATTCAAGATTTTGCGGAGAAAGGGGAGACCTCCCAACCTTCGTACTGTATAATGTATTGGCCAAAAAAAATTAAATTATTTTGACTATTCGATTACTTTATTTAAGACATTCCGAATATTATTCCTTAGAAAGCTAATCTGTGTTAAAACACAACCATTTTTGGAAGTTTACTACACTTCAGCAGTTACTGCAACTATGTTATTATAAACATTCATACATATGCTCATAATATAAGCATAACGATCATAATAAACGCGAATATGAACTGAACAAGCAGAACGAGAATGCAAATTTTTAAGATCTTGATAGAAATTCAAGCGTGTGTAGTATTTGGTTGGGAGGAAAAGAATGCCGAATGCACCGGAATTTTCTACTGCTTTCGCAATTCTTTGACCAATAGAACGACGGGCACCTGTCTGTACTCTTCGTGAACACTAAAGGTTATGTTAAGGCACTAAAGGTTATTAAGCAAGAGAAAGGAAAGGGGGAAAGCTTCCGGGAGATTTCCGGAGTATGACTCACCATCTGACATTCCATATTAGACAGAAAAGCTGTTTATTTAGTTTCGGCTTTGGTACGGGGAAAATAGCGCGTTCATTAAAAAAAAAAAAAAAAAAAGCACTAAAAGCAAAAAAATAAGGGCTTTAAAGAAAAAGTAAGCACCTATAAGGGCCTTTATATTTTATTTTCAAATATAAGGACTTATAAGCACTTATAAGGACCGCTACGAACCCTGTTTACAAATTTGAGCCAAAATTAAGGGCTTTCAAGGCCAAAAATCGTTTCCAAAAAACACCTAAGGACATTTAAGTACTTTTAAGGTCAGGGATAACCTTGTATAAAAGCGCGTGCATCTGCCGAAGTATGTTGCTATATTATTTCCAGAAGCTTTAACTTGAAATTTAAACAATGAAATATGCGACAGATATGCCTGCATAGCGCACTAAAAAAGACCATTTTGGCCCATGGTTGAAACTATTTGCCCATCTAAAGTAATGTGAGGGAAATTTAATTTTTTATTTAGATTTTATTTCAACAAATATAAAACGCATTTTTAGCACATTAAAGTAAACACTTGGTTCATTTCTATTTAATAGAAATGAACCAAGTGTAAATAATAAGATAAAATTGTTTTATTTATTGTAAACCTTGAAACTAAACTGTTTTTTTCCTTCTTTCTAAAAACCAAAGAAATATTCCATCACATAAAACAAAAACTATTTCTGTCCAATTAAAATGAGATTTTTTTTACTGATTTAAAATAATAAAAATATAATGAATGTTATTAAATTTTTGCATTTACAGTTTGCAGTAAATTTCATTTTAAAGAGAAAGTTAAAAAAATAGCTGCTAGTTTTGTTGTTGAGGTGTAAACACATAGTATAAGATATTTCTGTGCTATATTGTATAGATACTGAAATATGCATTATACTTATCTTTTGTATTATTTAAATTAATATAGAAATAAGAAACGCAAAAAAAAAAGTTTAATTTAGCTTGAAAATTGAAGTTCTATTATAATGGTAGTTTAGATTCTCATGTCATTCCCATCAGAATGAAAGAAATGCTAGTGTTGAATATGCATGCATAAGGATGTTTCAGTGGAATTTATGTTCTTCCATCACATTATAATTTTCTGCAGATAATGACATATAGCACTTCTGCAATTAGGATTTGACTTATTCTATAATGAATAAACTATTTTAATAAAAGTTGTTAATCATGAAAAAGCTGAATGAATTTTAGCAAGCAAATGACATACTGATTACTTTGCAAATCTTTTTCAACTGGTTCTTGCCATAACTATTCAACTTTTGAGTAAGAAAGTATTATGAAATACTGATGAATTTAATAAAATATTTTTACGCTAGGGAGGTGGGTTCTTTTTCTTAATTATGTCCAATATATGATGGCAGCTTCCATGGAATATATTTGAATACAAGAGCTTCTAACAAGTATATGCAGGCTGAATGAGACTTGTTACGTTTTATTTCATTTCTTTGATTGTCTTGGATTCAATTTATAACTTCTTACTGGAGGCAAACAATGTTTCGAGATATCTCCATTTCTTAAGCATGAGTACTGCATTCTAAACTTAAAAAATTAAGATACTAAGAAATGTATAATTTCCAAAGATTTCAAAATACAATGTATAAAAATACATATTCAAATCTTGTATATGCTTTTAAGACTTAACAGATAGGAGAAAATTGGAAACTGGCATCAAAAAAGATAACTTGAAAACTACGCAGAATCTCAAAATTAATTTAAAATGAAATGACCGAAGTATTAGGCTTTTTATATACAGCATCTTCAGTAGCAGTGTGAAAAAAATTATTTAAATGGTTTATTAAAATGAAAAATTTATTTATAAATAAATTCTAGACCTTGTTTTACCGTTAATATTTATGAGCCTGCTTCTTTCATTAGGCACCCACCAGTGGCTGAGAGGCACTGAAAACTAGTAGTTAGACCCATGTTCAAAGCTTGGCAAATAGACTGACTGCGTGAGTTTTCATAGCTTTCTCCATGTGTAATGTGAATACAAGACTATTGCAGTAGAAAGTCCTCCTCAGAGGCATCCCTTAGGTAGATAGCCTGCCATAATCCAAATAACGAAACAATAATACAACAACAACAAAAAAAAACTTTTGTGGGTTATAAAACAATGTTTGTCATGAAAAAGAAGGCAGAGAAAAGTTACATGATATATACTGTGTTCTAAAAATGAAATTTACTGCATATTATTAAAATGCAGAAGAACAGAATTAAATCGAATTGGGTACTAAGAGAGTTCATATAATTCTAAAATTTTAGTTATCAAAAGACAAAGTTATGATCAACATAACAAAATCAAAAAGCTATTTCAAAATGAGTTGATTTCAAACTCCTACATATTATTATGTACTAGAAAAAATAATCTCACTTTCCTCACCCCACCTCTGATTGAAATCTTTGACCAATCAACTTCATAAAAACCCCAGAATTTTTCAGAATAATTTGTGTTTAACAGTTTGAAATGGAAAGTAATAAGCCTGCTATTGCATATTGTTTACTGTACAAGTTTAAGAAAGGTACTAATGCAGTCTTGATTTATCAAATGTTTAGGAAAGATGCAATTAACAGGGATATATACTGCTACCAGTTTCATAAATTCCAAGATAATAACAGAAGTCCTAAAGATGAATCATGTTCTGAATTTCCATCAGGTTTTAGTGATGCAAAAGGAAAACTTGATCATATTTACTCATACATAACATAAATTTCTTTGTCACATTTAATGTATCTGTCCCTACTTCACAAAAAATTAGACTGAAATGTATTATTACAAAATATTCATTTAGAACTTAAAAGTGTACAAAACTATAGAAACTTTTTATTCTTTAGCAAAGGAAGACATTTGAAATTTCTTTCAGCAGTACAGAATATAACTGGCATTTCCATATGTGAAATTTAATAACAGGGCTTGTAGTTTGGAAACAAAAACAATTCTTGCATGCACATTTAAAGGAAAGCCTTTACCATAAATAAAAAATATTTGGAATAAGTATCTAAATCATTTTTGCTTTTCACCAGAATAATGGAGAAAAGCCTATAATTCCTTAATAAGTATACTTGTATATGTAGATAAAAAAATCAAACAAATTTAAGTTTTAGAACAATTTTTATTCATCAAAATCTTATACGTAAACAATGAAAAAAATAACACAAAAAAGACATTGAAAACAAAATGAACATGTCTTTTAAATCTTGATCCTCATAATCAGAAACTGAAAACTGATTTTTAAGTAATCAGGTTCAAAAAGCTTATATATATAAAAAAAATTAATAAAATAAACTCATTACAGGAATGAAATATATATATATATATATATGTGTGTATAATGAAAAAGATTGCAATATTGATGGTTTAGAATATCGACTCCATAATGAACAGCAGGAATTTTGATTACATAGAACACAGTTTCTTAAACTGTGAATTGCCAAAAATTTTACCAATTTTGATATTTAACTTATAATGATTTTACAATTACCAAATATTTTTACACAATGTACCTGAAAATAGATAAAACGCAAACGTTTCGACGCATTTGTTTTATAATATAAACGTTTATTTTACGTGCTTTGCAAGTGATGCTGTCATTTCATTTGTTACTTATTTAAAGTTTTCACATTGTTCTGTCTTAAAATTAGAGATTAATGACTTAAAACTGCAATAGTATATTACAGTAAAGTGAAAAAATTGACAGTTTCACTCCGGTGTGTGTGGGATTTGCGCAATGTTTATGGAGTCTTACAAAATTTTCGTAAGCATTATGGGGTCCAGGGGTTGCGGGAAAAATCTATGATAAAAAGGGGTTGCGACTGAAAAAAAGTTTAAGAAGCCCTGACGTAGAACATTGGCAGCTGAGGAAAATTAAATATTTACCTTTATTTTAAAAAACACATGGCCACAAACAACTTTGCACATTCCTTGTACCTATTTTCAAATTGTACACTTTTGACAGATTTCCAATAAGAAGACAGTAGCAGGCAGCACTTCAGCTAGGCCAAAATGTAATGTTTTGTGTTCAGGAAGAACTCTTAATTCAGACTTGAGTGAGTTTTGGTTTTCAATGCATTTTGATTGGATAATTAATACTGCTATATAATTATTATTTTCTGTTTTGAGTTTTAGTTCCATACGCTCTCGCTGCATATCTCACGGTTTCCACAGGCAACATAGAAGTAGCAAAATTTGTGCAACCCATGATTTCCGCGGAGATGCATGTTTTTTGTTTATTTAACTGTGCAACCTTTTCCCGTTCATGGTTTCATTCCGGCTTTTCTGTGATGTTTAATTATTTATTCAGATCTTGGGTTAACAGATGGCATTAGTTGTCTATATTTTTGCAAAATATACAAACACATTTTGCACCACTTTGTGTGCTCTTTTCAAAGCTCGAAGATATCTGTAGTTCAACTCTCAATCACATGAGACTAACTGCTCGACAATTTGCTAGATATATATCCCCCAATTTCATCAAGAAAGAAACTCTTAGACATTGTGCTGTTTGTTTCTAAACAAAAGAATTGAAACTGGCAAAAAAATTCTCAAAGAAATGCGCATTTGGTGCAAAGATGAGGAGTTAGGATGCCTCAAGCCTTGTTTCAAAGTTTATCATTTTACTCTTCATTTCTAATAAATGTTTTATAAATATTTTGCATATTTTCATTAGTATAAACATTTTACCATTATATTTTATAAAATAAATCATAATTTAACCAAGATTAATTTTCAAAATTTTTCTTTTATATGATTATTCTTCAGTTTAAACTTTCCGACAACCTTTTTTTATGAGCTAATTCTAAACTGGGGGGGAAAAAAAAAAAAAAAAAAAAAAAAAAAAAACTTTTTGTATATTAACTTTAAAATATATGTAGATTTGAAATATGCAATTTTCAAACCTATTTTGATAAAAAAAAATTACGCAGTGAGAGGGTTAACATCTTCAGTCTTATATAAGAGTTACATACATAGATTAGTGTGGCAGTGCAGAAAGAAATTACTATTTTTAGAATAAAGAGTGGAAATTATTTTCGCATTAAGAAGCTATTGGTAATATAAATTATAATTTATCTTTTATTTAACTTACACACACACATATATATAGTTATGATATGATCGAAGTAAAAGACGAAAAATAACATTACCAAAGGGCAGTAAGCTACTTGTAAATACTACACAAAATAAACAATAAATTCTCTAATATAATATACAGTCCAGAATATTAAAATTTTATCTTCAAATTTAACTACCAAAAATATTTATTCAAAAATATATGAGCTCATTATCAAGGAAATTCATTTCCTTGTATCTTGTTTGAAATACAACTTAAATATAAATACCAAACATGAGCAGAAATTTCAAATTCTCTAAATCCATGTTAATTATATGAAAGTAACAAAAGATAAGTAACTTTGAAAACAAAAAATATACTATAATTCCTACAAACATTTTAAACATATTTTCAGTCTTTGCTACAACAGTACAGCAAATAACAAGATAAAATCAAGCTCTTTCATAAAATGGCATTCAAGCTCATTTACAATAACATTAAGGTTCTGTATTCTATACGCAACTCCCATTCAGATCAGTTCATTAAATAAAATGAAAAATACAAATATCACATTTCATTTATTAGTTAATGTTTCACATCGTTATTTTTTAAAATGTAACCATTTACAAGTAAATCTGCATTAAAAAAGATTACAAAATGAAGGTACAGCACATCAAGATGCTGCAAACAGCATGTATTACAAGTGAAAGACATAACATTCAGTTACAAATTCACAGGAAGCAATAAGTAAAATAACTGAAATGACTTGAAATGCCAGTTTTAACCATTAAATGCTATCATAGAATTTTTAATTAAACAAAAGTCACAAACATATATAAATTTTAACATTGATCACTATGTGATTAGCTCCACAGATGATTCATAAAATATAAATTTTCAACTATCTCACACCTAAGAATACTCTATTTAACAAATCATACACAAGGCTGATTTACATACAAAGCAAACTAGGCAATGGCAAAGGCTTCAGTACCAAAAAATACACATTTTCACACAAGCACAATGTATTTATTCACTTATTTTACTAGACGATAAATTTAATAACAGCATCCCCCCAAAGAAAATTTTTGATGATTAATCATGGCTTCAAAGTATAGTTTAAGATCAGCAAGCATGTTTACAGTTTATTCCACAATTATATTGAGGGACTTTTGTACTTTTTATTTAACATAAAAATATTTATGTAAATGTACTGCATTAATGCAGTAAAATATGTCCAAGGTTAAAGTGATTATATTACCACTTCAATATAATATATATCAAACAGTAAATAGAATTAGTAGAGAGGAAAAGGTTATGATTTATATTCTAATAAATGCTTTGAGACTTACATCCTCAGTTTCTTGATATCTTAGACACTTTTCAAGCAACGTCCTTATCAAAGGTTTTTTCTGTCATTACAAATAATTTTACTTTTTATAATGTTCAAAAACAAATCTTTTACCTATACACAAAAGTTAAGAAAATTAGTCATTTAATTTCTGAAAAGATACTTTATCGTATTTTAGAACATAAAAACATTAAGGCTTGATAAAATTGTGCTATAAGACAAACAGTTTAAAAACAGACTTCACATAATTACTGAAAATAAATATAACACACATTTCCAGAAAATTAAGAAAATATTTTACAGTATATGAATTTCAAACTGAAATCACACCAAGAATTATGATTTTAAGAAAATATTCCTTTTTCATTAACAAACAATAAGGAGATGTAAGAATAGTTCTCACTGCAATAAATTTCTGCTGCCCCCTAAAGACTTATTGATTAAGAATAGAGTAGCAATTTTATTACAACCTGCATTCCCATGACTTAAAGTCTAATTTGAGATTTTGCTGTAATTGCTCAATTGAATTTGGAAACTTGCTTTTTCCTTATTCTTCTTTAATTTCCATTATTAATACTGGGTTAGTTCAATAGATAATTAATTTTAACATTTAAAGTTTAAATATTAAGGACACAAATTTCTCCTGAAATTTTTAGTGCAATTCCTATGCCACAGAATTTTTGCACACTTGTAAATGCCCTAGAATTTCAACTTTTCGTTCCTTTGATAAAATTACTGTTTTAACCATGAATACAGCCATAAGGTTTTAAAATATTCAACTGAAACAATTTAACCAGTCTCAGTAAAACATAATTAATAACTGTGTGAACAAAAAATGAAGAAAAAAGTTTGTTAAAACTGTATACAATCTATATAAGTTAGAAAGAAATGAAAATAGGTTTTGTATCAGTAATGTAAGCAAAAGGCATTTTTACTATACTGTTCCTTTAATTTCATGTATTCATAAAAAGTAATAATCCTACAATCTTATGGTCTTGCATCAACTATTCTAAGTATATCCTTTCAAATAAAACCATTTTATACATTTCATAGTGTTTAATGTATTTCAGCTCACATATAATAAATTTTAAGCTTTGCAACTAAAATCAAATTTGGCCGATGAATGGGGAAATGTATATGAACACTTAAATCTGGTAGTCTGATACAAGTTTCAATCCTAGTGACGCAGGCTATATTCATTACTTTCCCCATGCATCCTTTACAAGCCCATTTACCTCATAAAGTCCTTCAGGAAAACATCCCTTACATATGTAGTTCTTATGTGCTTTGCCATATTCAATTAATCACACAAATAAACACAATAAAATTTTTGCAATCTAAATCAATTTTTTACACTAAAATACTTAGCATTTAAGATATATTAGCACTGTCACCCTATTGTACCTGGATAGATATCACATGGTCAGTAAATATAAAATGGCAGTCATGTAATAATGTACTATGGTTTCTCAATTATATGTTGGTTTCTCTAGAGTTCACCAAATTTTCAGGTACATTTAAAAATGCTCTATCAGATTTTCAGAAACTGTGAAAAATAATTATGTAGCTGCAACAGTAATCTATTAGAGCATGCTAAAGGCTGCTACATTCATTACATAATGGCATCACATTACTTTACCATAGTATAGTTTATAATACTCTCATTTATCACACTTTGCATTTAACATGGATTGAGGTCAATGCCAAAAAAAATGTGATAAATGCGAGACAATAGAAAAATTTAATATAACTATAAAAATTCACTGATATTATCATGCTAGAGAACATGTATGAAATTTGGGATGCCGGGTGGCCTCTAGCCTAATCTCAGACATTCCCTACCTACTTGAATATTCTTGTATAAATCTGTCAACGGATATTTGAGAGCTGAGTAACAAAAGTACAGATAGAGAATTACTTTTGTACATTAGTAAGAATGTACAAAAATACTCATTTTTATTCAAGTTATTAGTTTTAATGGTACTTTGAAAATACGTTTAGCAGGTAGTAAACATACTTTCAACACATTCTCTAAAACATATTTTATTGCATTCTGCATTTATGCAATAAAGCATAATTAAAGTACTACATTCTATACCTATACCATTGCCTAGAACCTAGCATGCTTATCTAGACAAACTGACCACACAGTAAACATATGAAACAGGTTGACTTGTCCATATTGCCAATACAAAAAACACTAGAATATCAATATACCATTGCTTAAGGCCTAGAAACTTTTGTTCAAGACCCAACCACATGGTTTTGAAAAGTACATTCAGACTTGTCCAAATTGGTAACACAAGGAATATAAATACCAATCATCTTTATAACACAAAGAATACAATACCAACCTTTCAAATGGAAGCAAATTACAAGTGTTCTCAACACATGGCACGAATAATTTTGAGCAATGACAACTACACAGATGAATATTCTAAAATGCTTGGCTTCATTATGTTGTATTACCTGGTGCTATAACAGGAAGGTCAGGAATATGCCTACGGCTTAATGTATCACCAATTAAAGTAGCAACCATTTCACGATCAGCCTGCAAAGATATATAATATATATTTTACTAACTGGAAATGTTAGGAAATAAAAGCTTATGAAAACACTGCAAGGGAAACAGTTTCTTCTAAAAGTATATTCATCAATTTAATATCCAAAAATACATCCTCATTGTTTATTAGCCATTATATTTGGAAGACTATAAGTCAGATTTTTTTTAAATGCTTCACATAAAATAATACAACAAAATAATTTTTTCTGTTGCATAGCACCAGATAATTCATGAAACCCATCATGTTAAAACTTTAAGAAAATAATTTTGACTTAAATTTTAATTGTTTTTTAAACAAGCAAATAAAATAATTTCTCTAAACTGATTACATTTATTTACTATATGGACAGAATGTTTTAAGTTCTAAATTCTACCCACCTGATTAATGAAACCATGAAATACCAATTCTTCAGCCAAATCAGAAGGCGTATCTTTTTGTGTAACTTCACATGACAGCTGCCTATTCATTTTATCATCCATCCTCAATAGAACCGTCATCTATGAAAAGCATTTTACACTTTACATATGAGACAAATACCTGATACAAGAAACTGAAACTTTAGAATTAAGGATTGCTTCCTTATATTAACATAAAAATTCACGCATGATAACATGTAAAGTATGGCTACCTTTCGATAAGGTTTACACAAAAATACTATAATTGTGAGAAAATACAGAAGAAAATTTGACTTTGCTTGCAAAGAGCAAATTTAACATTCAAATAAAAAATAGCTGCAGAAAAGGTCAAACAAAACAAATCTGTTTTATTACCTATAAAGAGATATATTCTAGCAGATATTTTATATGTCACACAAATGAGATACCATAACAACAACCAGATATTTTATAGCAATATATTACAATCAAAGGCCTGCAAAATCTTTATATAAATCAAATTCATGGCTCTGTAGACCATTATTGCGATTTATAATTAAAATTTTTAAGATTTATTATTCTTCAAACCATTATAGTATCGATGGTACTATTTAAAAATTTTTCAGTATTAAGATTTACTCTATGTATTTTATTACTTGTCGCCAGTCACCGGTGGCACCCACGGTGCTGTAGCCAAGTCGAGTGCCGGTCACCAGTGACCTCCATGGCAGTCAACATGTTAAATAATAATTCATATTTTTCTAAAGTGCTGCGAATGTTCAATGTTAGATGTATTCAGCATACTGAAATATAAATTCTTGCCCTTTACTATTAGCAGTCTGCAAAGAATATAGTACATCGGATATTCAGATAATTCCCTGCTTTAAACACTTAATAATATAATTTTTTATTTATAAAAATAAATACTATTTTTTAGATTTTTATCTGGAGTGTTTTCATTTTTGTAAGCTTATCTTGGTATACTGGGGGTAATCAAAAATGAGCAGATTATTTTTAAGCATTTATATTATACTCACATATTTTGGCCCTGTTCAATCAATTCTCCACATACACTACTTCCAATGATTTGCTCACTTTTGTAAACATGAAAACCAGTCAGGAATTCTTGACACAGAATATTACTGAAAGCAAGCAATATATTTTCTTGTACCTCATTCAGATCACTGAATTGCTTTGAAAGCTTTCCTTATCCATGGAAATAAAAAAGTAATAGACAAGAAAATTCAATGAGTAGCATGGTTGAGACGTAATCACTTTGTTCTTCCTAAAGAACTGCCACATAGCCAGTTTCTTCAAAAATCTAATGAATGGTCTTCAATGATCTTTAATAGTAACTTGTCATATTTTCCTTACTGTTTTCTTTTCTGCTCACCAATGGATGAACAAGTAAAAGAAGAAGACTGCTACAAGTCTTCTTTTGATATATCAACATTTAATTTGGAAAACTACTTATGTATTTGCCATTCACTCAAAGCATCATCTTAACAGGTTTGTTAAAACAACAGCAGTCTCTACTGCATTTCATTTGACACAAAGCAAACTTTCAAGTACACTTCTTAAACTTTGTGGTCACACATAATGCCAGGATGCTGAGAACAGGAACATACAAATCAACACTCAGGACAAACCACTCTACTCAGATTGATGTCACTTCATGAATAAGTGCAGGCAAACAAGGTCTAGTGCCACGATCTGTAATTACAAAATGCTCGCTTACAGAGATATCATTCTAGAATTTCTGAGTACCTACCTCTATGCATTAATTCTTTTACTACTCAAAAATGTATGTTCAGCTTTGATTGCCTCACCTGTCTAAGAATGCCTTTCATCCACCATGAAAACTGCAAGTTTTAAATCTAACTTATCAATAAAATTTAATAAATGCAAATTAAATTTTTGACATCTATCATCTAACCTATAAATTTTAAGTCTTTAAAAACTCTTTTTAACTTTTTCATGTGGAAAATATCTAATTTTTTCTAATAATTTACATGCTAATTTGGCTTTTAATTCAAACAACTGCAATATGAACTTCTATGGCAAAAAAACTTCAGTCTCAGCAGAAAACTAATTTACCATTACATAAAATAAATGAATGTAAATGACAATGCAGAATTTTAGGGTTTCATCTGTTAAATATCAGAACTGCATAGTCATTCAATAAAATTATACAAATTGTTGATTGCAATTTTTTCAGTTATCAGTAGAATAATAATAATAATAATACAGAAAGCAGAACTCAATACCCATGCAATTACACTTACATATTAAAAAAAAAACTTTTAATTCACAGAGCTGAATAAGCAAACCTAAGCAAAAAAAGCAGAATTAACAAAAAATAAATAAACAAAAAGCATCTAAAAGATATGCCAGATGGGGGAAAATGGATTGTGTATCAAATATGAGTTCTGGAAGTAGAATTAAATCATTATTCACAGCAATAAACAGTTTACAATCACTCATTTAGAAATCAATTTTCAGCAGCTAATTTAATTATTAATCATTTAATAATACACTTTCTAAGAAAAAATTTCTGAAGCACTTTAAGTGTAACTCTAGTGATAGAAATTACAAAAACCTCTGCTGATAAGTTTTCAGCAGGAATAAAGTGACTTTGAGTAAAAATTATAGTCTGTGTTTACAGTGCTCAAGCCAAAAACTGATGACTGTTTTGGTATCACACACAATAGTTTTGATATACTATAGTAGATTTTTTTTTTTTTTTTTAATTTATATAAGTTTAAGTACTCAAATACATTTTACTCTTGTCTCACTAAAAACAGTTTTATTGCTTCACAAATATACTCCCAGAAAAGAACAAATGAACACAGAATTCAACAAAACTCACAAAACTTCAGACTCTCAAAAAGTATTCTCATTCTTCAAATCATGAAATACAGTTTCATTCCAATTCTTCTTAAACTTAATTAGAAATTAACATATACAACCCAGAAAAATGTTACATTTAACAAGTAATAATTTTAACCAAAATATACATAAATGAAAATACTATGAAGTTAGCAGGAAGCTTCTAAAGAAATTTTGTTTACTACCTTAGAGACCATTTCCATAATGCAGGTCCATACCTCCAGAGACCAGTTCCGTAATGTATGGTTGCAGACACATATTTCCAGTTATAAAAATATTTTAAATGATAAAAATATTCATATTTTGAATACTTAAATTTAAAAGAAAATAAATAAAAAAAAATTATGAAATCTTAGCTTTTTATAAATTTTTTTACTTATATTTTGGAAAATGTTATACTTATGGTTAAAAAAAAATAAAATACAAAATGTGCAATTAACATATGACAAAAATTCATCAAGATATTTAATTTTAAAGTTTCACATAACTTTTTTTTTTCTTTACACTCAGGGGTCATTATACAAAGTGCAGAGAGTCATACTTAAATTTTTATTTAACTGAATATTGGCTTACAAAGACATCTCTAACATTAACATATTAAATGATCAAAGCTGAAATGCAGATTGTCATGCAAAGTTGTGATAAAGACAAAATTTTTTAACATATCACAATATTTAGGACAGAATGGCAAACAGCATGAGTAAATGGCAAAATATTTCTCTAAATGAAAGAATCAATACGGATATTTTTTAGAGAAACAAAATTTAAAGATGGAGAGATATTTTTTAATAATCAATAATCAACACATTCAAATTCAAAGATTGACAGAAAAAACTCTCAGTTACTGTAAGATCAGATATTAAAAATATAAAAAAAACTCATATTTGGTAATACACAATAACAGACAAAAAAATAAAAATAATTCATGAAGCTGAAAAATAGTTTAAGCTAATATTAAAAAAGGAGGGACATCCTCATAATTCTTATCACTTGAAAAAAAATCATAAAATGAAAAATGTTAAGGAGAAAGCTAAACCAACTGAATGATTTTAGCATGATATTTGTTCAAACTGTCTGCTGTCAGCTAATAAAAGTTGTGCCCATAAAATTAAGTACTCCTGAAATTCCCTTAATAAGACTAATGCTACACACTTGCTGTTAATGTACAATTAAAGCAGGTCTAACAACTAGTTGATTCTAGCTTTGTTTTCAAAAAAGCCCCAGAGAAAAAAAATTAAGTGGGTTTAAATCAGGTCATCATGGTGGATATTTCCTGGACTCCCATCCTCGATATCCAATAATTATTAGTTCCAAATACAATTCTCAAAAAATTGTGCGGCCCCATAGTTTTAAGTGCAAAAGCAACTTCATACCAAAACTACACAGTTGATAAAACATTTGAAATAGTTAATTATAAAAATTATAAATTACAGAAGCTAGACATATATCATAAATAAATCACAGATACATATCATTGAATGACCCTAATGAAATTGAAAAGAGCCTTGTACATTATATATAATGTTGTATGATCTTAAATTCACTTAGTGCGAAATCTAGTTATTCTACTACTTGTGCAATAGCTGTACTTTGCAGCTATTGCGCAAGAAGTAGAATACCTAGATTTTGCACTAAACGAATTTAAGATCATACAACATTTGTACATAGTGTAATTACAAAGCTGTATATAATGTAAAAAGCTAATTGTCTTCAGACTTATGCTGATACTAAAAAAATGGGCCTATTTCATAATCTTAGTCTGTCAAATAGCTCTTTGACAGAAAATTCCTTTTTTCCTTTTCGTCCTCGTTACGACACAACAATTAGCCGGAAATTAATTCATTTCCATTCACTAGTATATTCAAAAATTTTTACAGACGGTTTCACTCAAATAAGAACTCCATAACATACATCCCTCAAGCATTCCTAGTCACTCCCTCTCCCATAAATTACTTCACACAAGCTTCGCTGACTGAAATAATTCAAAGCCCCCACTGCCGATAAAGAATTTCGGAAACACAACCCTTCTGAGTAAGACGTGAAGAGAACACTTTGCCCACTTCCCACTAGAAAGAATGTAAGTTAATTAATGCTTTTTCTGGCCTTTTATATCTTCATGTACATTCCCTTTTCTTATTATATATTTTTTAAATTTAAATTTTTATTTTTTGATTTGTTTTTGCAAACATTGCATTATATTTCGTAATTTCCTAATGTTTATTTCAATTACTTTGAGTTCTATTTCATAATGCTAATTTCCAATGTTTAATTTTTTACAAACAGTTTTTAATTAAAATGCATAAACACGAGGGTGTCAGGGGACAATTACTCAAGTAATTTATCAATTTTACTGCATAAACTGATTTTTCACTCAAAATTGAACTAGCAAAAATGCTTAATCAGAATGAGTTCTTTAGTTCTCTGCATTGGTTTTTGATCCCTTCAATTCACGGAAATATTTGGCCTAACTTAAATTGCCAGTTTAGCATCACCTGATTACTTGAGTAAAGGACGAAACACCTTTGTATTTATTTCTTAATTATTGTTCATTGAACGGGAGTTAGTTTGTTCCCCTTGAAAAGTCAACTAATTTCCGATCAATGGCAATGATTAATTGCTTTTAATTTAATTTCTTTTTACAATTGACATTTTGTTATTCATAATTTAATTCAAGTCCTCATTAAACATTTTTAACAATTTACATTCAAGTTACTTTAAAACCATTTTCTGAATTAAACTTACTATGGATTCACTCTTTTTAGATAATTCTACTAAAACTAATCTTATGAGATAATATAATCAATATTTCTTTAGTAAATATATATATACATATATACTTACAAGGTGACCAGAAAAAAATTTCCTTGACATAAAAAAACTCCTAGTGACCTATCCACTCGACCAATCAAAATGAAATTTCAGATAGCATGATGTGACAGTATGTGCTTGAGAATGTGAGGATTTAAAACAAGAGTTCTCATGGTTATATAGTGGGTTATATATCACAAGAGGTTCATACATCGAGAAAGTATTTTCATGAGCACCATGTACATGGTACTCCATCAAGATTGCATAAACTTAGCAGGGTGAGGACCTGTGCTCAAAATTCATAGAAAAATTACCTGAAGACCTATACAACCCACAGTTTCTGAGAAAAATGCAAAAAATACCTGATGTCACATCTATTGTATAGAAAATATGCTTTAGTGGAAACATGAGAAACTTTAGAATGGAGGAGAATAAAATAAATGCATGTTTTACCCATCATTAAGCTTGGAAAATGGAAAAATGTTTATAAGTAATTGATATAACATGATATATCCATTATTCATCACTTTCATTGGGCTCAAAAAAGTGGCATCTGGAAAGTGGCAGATAACAGCCAATCTCTGCATGTATTCCTTTTCCGAATATTCACATTTACTTCCTGTTTTGCCAGTGCTTTACTTTCTTTTTTGGTAACACAATGAACTATATGGGGAAAAATTCATTACATTATCGTCCCAAGTTTATTTTCAGTAGCCTGAAAAGTGCTGGAAACATTCTCCTGAAAGAAGATCTGCACCATATTGGTGGCAAAATACACGGTATTCTTCATGGGAAGTGTAACACTGTGAATCGATACTAAAACACTAAGAGCTAAGCACATATGCATTTTAAGGCAAGCACTACTGTGCCTAGGCAGCAAGATTGTACCCATTTCACTATACTACTGTGTTAAATCTACATTCAAATGAGTTTCATTGGTACATTTACTTTTTGACTACTGCAGTAATATGAAGCTGACAACCACTGTACATCATGTGGACAGATGAACCATATTTTCATATGTTACAGGATCTTTCATAGTTACAACAGCTATTATGCGATCATCGCCTAAATCTCATGCAATAATAAAACAGAGCACTTTTTTCACAACTGATATTAATTTCTACTCTTAAATGAATTTCGATCAAAATTCTTTAGAAATAACCCTCAAAAACTTAAGTTATTGGATAGACGTATCAGTAATCTATGAAAAATTATCAAGAAAAATTGACACACAACATTGTATCCAACTTGTTAACCAAATACAAAATGGAGGCAAGGGTGGCAGAAGCAACTTGATAGATACATTATTGGTACGAGGTGTATTCGGAAACTAAGTACCGTTTTGAAAAAAAAAAAAAAAAAACAGTAAAACAATTTTTTCGAATCCAATTTTATTTTTACATGAAAATACATGTCTTAAACTATTTTTCAACATAGTTTCCGCCAATGATCAAACACTTGTCATAGCGAGTGACCAGTTTTGTATACCATCGTCAAAGAAACTTCCCGCCAGTTTCAATTACCACGATTCTACAGCATTTTTCGTGTCATCGTCAGATCCAAAGCGCTTGCCACCAAGCTCGCACTTCATGTGCAGGAACAAGTGATAGTTGGACGGCGCCAAGTCCAAGCTGTACGGCGGGTGATCGAACTGCTCCCAATGAAACTGTCGAATTAACGATTGAGTGACACCAGCAGTATGGGGCCGAGCATTGTCATGGAGCAACACAATTCCTTTACTGAGCATTCCTCTTCGTTTGTTTTAAATGGCACGCCTTAGTTTTGTTAGTCTCACAATATCGTGCCGCATTAATGGTTTCACCTCTGGGAAGAAATTCAGTAAGCAAAACGCCTTTCCTATCCAAGAAGACAGTGTACATGATTTTTTGTGATGACATTGTCACTTTGAACTTTTGTTTTTTCGGAGAATGAGTGTGTCTCCACTCCATCAATTGTTGTTTCGATTCTGGTGTGAAATGACACACCCAAGTTTCATCACCTGTCACAATTTGGTTAAAAAAGTTTTTTCCCTCATCACTGTACCGCGTGAGAAATGTCAGGGCACTACCAAGTCGCTTTCTTTTGTGAACATCAGTGAGCATTTTTGGAAACCATCGGGAACACAGTTTGCGATAATTCAAGTGGTCAGACACAATTTCGAACAAAACAGTACGTGAAATTTGTGGAAATGCCTCTGAAAGAGTTGTCATTGTGAAGCGTCTGTTCTCATGAATTGCTTCATCAACTTTCCTTACCAAATCATCGGTGACAACAGAAGGCTGACCACTCCGAGCCTCGGCGTGGACATTTGTTCGACCTGCATTAAACATTCTTACCCACTTTCTCACCATTCCATCACTTATTGCGTATTCACCATAAACTTCTGTCACCTGACGATAAATTTCGGCCTCTTTAACATTCCTTGCGTTCAAAAATTTAATCACAGCACGAATCTCACAGTCAGCGGGAGAACTAATTGTCTTAAACATTTTGAATGTGCACAGAAAACTGAAAACACAACATAGAGCAACCAAAATGGCGACAATTGAAAGTCAGTGAATAAGAAAGACTAGTGCGCATGCGTGGGACGCCTACCACAGCGCTGCGACAGCGCTAGAATGAAATGGTACTTAGTTTCCGAATAAATTGAGCAATATATAACCCACTACTACACTGACTACATATTTTACTCCAAACCTAATTTTAATTAAAAATGTAATATAAATCAGAATTACCATTAAGTTTTGGCTTTCTTCTTGAGGCTTTATGTTGCACATGATATTAATTATTCTTCGAGTTTCTAGTTCATAAGCTTCAGGAGATTTCAATTTCATAGAGTCTGACATTTCTGGTGAAGAAGTTCTTTGCTGTATAACAGGACGATGTGTGGCAGCATAGGAAGTCAAGGGATATATTCCATTCCTAGTGACAAAATACAATACTGTCCTTAACTAAATCTTACTTTACAAATAAACACAACAATGATTTATCACATCTATCAATTCTGCTGTTTGGACTAAAAAGAAATTAATTCTTATTGGTCATATTCTCACCTAAAATACAATATTGCAACTTTTCTGCATTCGGGCATTATCAAGTGGAAGGTCATCAGATTTAACATGCGAAACATGTTGATTGCAAATGGTTCTCTTTTGTATTTGAATTTTCACAAAGAAAGAGGTAAAAGGTTAAGTAACTTTTAAATCGATATTTTATGCAACATTTAATATTTTAGAGATCCTAAAAATGAATAAAGAAAATTATAACAATTTGTTAACCAACAGTGATAACAGCAGTGAAATTTCTGAAAAGTCACAACTAAAGAAGTGACTTTGATTCCTGGTTAGGTTATTTAAACATAGAAAAGCACATGAGAGCTCTTGGCCTAAGAGTAGAGATACCTTTGTGTAGCACACTGTAAAGGTTCAGCAGTGTGGTACTGGAAAGCATTAAAATTTTATTCTTTGTCATCCTCCGAGATACACTACATCATACAGTAGTATACTTACAAAATTTGATAGAGAAAATGCAATAAATACTATGAAGATTTATATGTATAATTATGCAAATTACAAGGAATACACAGTTGAAAGATCTATGTAAATGATCTGAAATGCAAGTTTGACACAAATTAGCAAGATCAAACTCTTAACTCTCTGTTGCTTTGGGAATCATGTTTTTTCAGATGTCATCTCAGAAGACGTATGCAGTTGAAGAAATAATAAGAATTCCACAAGGCAGATGACATCACAGTCAGTTTTAAGAAGAGAGAACATTTTACGATGGGTTTTGTTTCAGGCATGTAAATGCCTGCTTGGACATGCACTCTTACTGCAGTTGAAACATACCTACATGCATCCACTACGCAAAGGGTTTGGAGGAGATAGCTAGAAGAAGGGAATTTGAATCATGCCAGGGGTACTGATACATCTAGATGAATGTCAGCACACTTGGACTGACAAGTCTAAAGGCATCAGATATTTTCATATTCAAAAGCTTCATGCTGTAGAACTGTAATGTGACACTGTTTGTGTCAAAAATTGTACTTCAGATGTGTTTTATCAAGTTGAAAAAGATCTTTTAACAGAAATACATTCAATAAGTAATCTAATTGGCTATGGAAGTGATAATTGTGCTACCATGATGGATACTAAGTGTGGGATCCAGTCATTGCTGAAAAAAGGATACACCATCAGTATTCGTAATGAGATATGTTTACCATTCTTTTCATAATGGAACACTCATTCAAAGTACTATCATCACCTCTAGAAATATTTATAAAAAATACAACTTATTTCTTCCGTAGTAGTATAATACTGCTAAGTTTAAGATCCTCAAGTACATGCAAACATGTTGGCTGTCCTGCAGCAATGTAATAAAAATTATTATTCAGCAGTGGGATGCCTTAGTTCTTTATTTTTAGTCTCAATCAAAAACGGACAGACGTAGAGAGAATATCACCAAAAGAAATATGCATGTACTTCAATTTATGATTTCAAATTACATTCACTTCATTCAATTGTTTCAACTAAGTATAAAATTATTCTCAGTTTTTCAAAAAAGAAAAGAATGAAAACATTTTAAAGTTTTTTCCATAAAAGTATGAAAAATTCTTAATTTTTTTATAAAAGAAAGCATTACTTAGGGCAAGCTGATTCCAATTGATCTAAGCAATGCAATAAATCACAAACTCTGAATAAAATACATTTGTGTGGCCATTCTTTGGCCTTATTAAATTTAACGCCACTTTGTTACAGTGAAAGCAAGTTTAAAAATGATTATTTTTTCACTTTGAATGCAAATGAGAAAGAGATTTCCTCTAAATGATGGTTGACTTACTATATACATTGCAGCAATAGTAAATTATTGTACCAAATCAAACTTTCCTTAATTTTCCACTTGTAATGCCGTTCCATCACTTTGTTTCTGAAGACAAATCAGATCTTCTAGTTGATTAACCCTCTGAATGGCCAGGGTTTTCACTAAGAAAGCACAAAGTTCCCAAAATTACTATGAGGATAAATTATCTTTTTGATTTTACTGTGAAAGCTCTGCTGGTATTTCATGCCTGGATTGCAGTACTTATATATATTGCCTTAATTTCTTTGACATATTTTAATATACACGTATATATGTTCTTACAGATGTCACAAAAAATATTCTAGGCCATATTTATATGGTCTTGCCGCTTAGAGGGTTAAGGATGCATTCCATTTGTTTGGGATGAACAAAATGTTCCCAAAATTTATTCTATCTTGTTTACCACTAAAGAAAAATACATATCCCCCTTTCACAAAAAAAGGGTTGTTAATTTTTAACCAGTTAGCAATCAGCTTTGAATCTACCATTATCATGATGGAGAAATAACTTCACCTTTACATGGTAACCCAAAACTGATCTGTGGTGACTGGCTGTTTTATATTATGGCAAAGCAGAAAAACTGTCTAAAATGTTGCTCTTTTAAAGTATTTTGAATGTGTGATATGGCCATAATGAAACTCGTTCCATTTTATTCAATTTTTAAATCTCTCTTACAAACCATCCCTGAATTTTTACATTTGTTACATAAAATAAAAAATGGATTTAATAATTCTAAATATGAGATATTATCTAATTTTAAGACCAGCTTAACTATTTTATCTAACTGTTTGGCTAGCATAGAAAAAAAATCTTTTCCCAAGTAAACCATATAAAAATAAAAGCCACAAACTCAATTAAAAAAAGTTGAAAGATTGACTAACAGAAAACCAGTGGATAAATAAATGTAATTGAAATTACAGCATATGGGAACTTAAATCAGAAATAAGTCATATAAGGAATTTGGTGAAGCGTTTCCATTACCTTCTTAAATGTGAAGAAAATGACCCTTTTCAGAAGCATATGGTCACTGGTGATGAGAAATGGATTGTGTACAATAATGTCGCACGCAAGCAGTCTTGGAAACAGTGCGATGAACCACCTCAATTCACTTTTAAAGCTAACATTCGCCAGAAAAAGGTCATGCTGTCAGTGTGGTGGGATTTCAAAGTACACAGCTGAATTAATCTTGAAAGGTGTTGTGCATTTCAAGCTCTTACCAAGGAATCAAACTATTAATTCAGCAATTGGAAAAATTGAACAATGCAATAAATCAAAAGCAGCCAGAACTCGTGAATCGTAAAGGCATTGTGTTTCACCAATACAATGCAAGACCACACACGAGTTTGGTTACCCATCAAAAGTTGTTGGAGCTTGGTTGGGATGTGTTGCCCCACACACCATACTCGCCTGACCTTGAACCTTCAGATAACCATTTGTTTTGCTCTTTTCAGAATTTCTTGAATCAAAAAACATTCGATTCCGATGAGGCTATAAATCGGCACCTGGTACAGTTTTTCGCTTTTAAAGACAGGTCATTCTACCAGCATGGAATTATGAACCTTGTTGAACGATGGAAAAATGTCATCAAACAAAATGACCAATACATTATTGATTGACTTCTTATTTTTGTAGGAATAAATTAGCTTTGAAAAACATAGTAAAACTATGCCATGCTTTTCCGATCAGGTGGATAGAAACAAAATTATTAGCACATTTCAGAATAAATTCCAGGAGTAAAATCCTTACAGAAAATAATTTTAATCCTGCTGATGCATGCTTTTCTATGGCACACACAACTTTTTCCTCTTTAAAATTAGCCATTTATACAAGGTGATTTGCTACCACATGTATGAATACCTAGCCTGGATAGGTTACCAATGACAAATCCAAATCAGATCGTAGCACTGTGTTGGAAATGCCATCATCATGTGCAAGTGTGTAGAAAACATGAGAAATGAAAGAGCAACACATAATGTGAAGAACATCATTCTATTCATCAAAATGTTTAACAACTGGGATATTAAGTGCAGTCACAGAACGTGTCTGAAATTTCGGCCACCAACTGCAACACAAGCCTTAGATCAGAACAATGGATGTTTTGAAATATTTCACGACTCTTAAACATTCATAGCATCTATGGCAAATGCATATGAGAAGTTTCTCCTTACTATTGGCAGGTGTATCATACATTAGATCTTTCATGCAACCCCAGAAAAGAAATCCAGGAAGGATACATGTCATGATTATGTATGCCAACGTTTGGGACCATCATGCTCCATCTACTGTTGTCCAAGTGTTGCTAGGACCCCTATCATGTTGGAACCATATATATTATCATGGCTGCTAGATCTGTTGGTCATTTCAAAAGTTCAGACAACTTCCTCAAAAAAAAAAAAAAAAAAAACTTATAACACCAATCATCCAAATGAATAGGCAAGCTATATCGGTCTATTAAATTGTCTCTTACGATGCATAACCAAATACTGAAAGCAAATGAGCGTTGAGTTGCACGTTAGTGTCACATGGGGCTCTTCACTGCCCACATATGAGAGTTATATGAATTATAGGAATTTTGCTGCTGAATTATGACTTTTCTGTGAATAGTGTGTTTGCTGCAGTCTTCTAGATATATCAATCTTGGTAATCATCACACTGCAGTAACTATATGCACTGCTCTTGCTATGCAAATTGTTTCACTTCATAATCCTCCAAACAGGTATAGGTTGAAGCAATCCATGTAGTGCATGTAGGCATATTAAGTATTGACGGGCCTTGCTAACTGTTCAGCTTCCACCCCATTTGAATTTAGAGAAGTGGTCTGAGGGTCTCCCACTCTTCTTTCCCTACCACTAACCTCTCAAGAGGATTTCAGCTAGTTGTGCATTTTGAGTGCTTTGTTGCTGCACAGACGTTATATGCTTACAAACTTCTATGCATTCTCCTGGGTTTGAAACCAGGCCCTCAGTATGGCAGTCAGTGTCACTAACACTCCCTCACCTGGGAAGCAAAATGAATCAACCATCAAGCTGCATCATCCAGACAGTGTTTTGAAGAAGACTATAACAAGAAACGATTGCTTGTCATTGTCTGCATAACAAAGTACCATTTCTTTGATTTCAAGAAGCCTATGCCATTCATTCTCAGCTCATGGTACATCTTCTGCAGGAATCTGTTTCACAAAATCTTTGATGTAACTGTGCAAATATCTGGTAGTTCTGAATATGCTTCATCAGGCAGCAGTGACTGATACATGTGACTGTGGTTCACCCATTACATGCAAACAGTGGTTCACCCATATAAGTCGTTAATTCAGACACCCATAATCCGGAATGATCTATAATCCGGACCTCAAAGCTAAAATCTTTCTGCACATGCGGCGCGTTGACGCATGCGCATAGGCGTTTACGCGTGCACGCAAGACCTTTACGACTGCGCAAGCGCAGAATACGTTTTCGCATGCGCGTTTAATGTATAACGGACGTTATAAGCTAAAATTATCTAATTATCTGTTTCAGTTAATGTTGATAATTGCGTTGTTCCTTAATCTTCGAATTGGATCCGGCTTATTATTTTTTGCAGACTGTAAGAGCAATTTTATAAAAGTAAGCTTGAACTTTTGATTATGTCAAATAGAATTTACGATGCTGGAGCTCCCAAAGGATCTAGAAAACGAAAGTATGTTTCTATGTCCATCAAACAAAAAACAAATTGCTACAAAAAATGGATAAAGGCATATCCTTTGTTTATCTAACCGTTCCGAAATCTGTTTATCAATTTCATGCTGCTCTGCGCGGGGGGGGGGGGACGTCGCGGCGCGCAATGAACTGGAAGTTGATCTGTCAGCACTATCATTATCTTCAGAGCAGATATTTTTATTTTATTTGGCTTATAATTCCTTACTAAATGTAGTATTTAATCTCGATGTACTCTGTCTTTGATATGATTTAAATCAAATTCCTCATCATTATAAATATCACGAATACAAATCAAACAGTTTTCTGGTTGCAATTTTTTAATTTCGGCTATGCGTAAGGTATGCTTTACGCATGCGCGCATTGAAAGAAATGTTTAATAAAGTAAACAAATAAATATTAAGCTTCTTTTTTTGTAAATTTTGATATCCTTTGGATCATAATTGCTCATTTTACGGTTTCATATTTTTAATTTTATAATTTCTGCATGCCATCTTACCAGATTTAAACTGATGATCTATAATCCGGAAAAATCGATAATCCGGAATAGCCGAAGTCCCGACGAGTCCGGATTAAAGACTTTTGACTGTATCAGCAGCTCCATATGCTCGATGCATATTTGCTAACTCTAAGAAATTTATCAAAGTTTTCCTGCACAGACATTTTACTGGTTCTCCAACAATTCCCATCATTGCATTAGAATTGTGCTTCTGATCCTACACTCCTATCTCATCCTAATTTGTTTTTGAGTAGCCTACCCTTCACAGAACTTTGTACATGCAGTAGCAATGTATCAACTCTAAGAGCTAGACATCTTTGTCAGAAGCATACTGAATGAAAAAATAAGGAAAACATGCAATCAGTGTGGCTTCAGAGAATAACACATGAAGAGACACACATAACTTTAGAGAATAACACACTTTAATTCCACTTTGTTGGACCTAATGAAGCAATATAAGACTTCAGGAAAAATGTTCCGATCTTAACACAACTGTCTAGAATTAATAAAATTATGTCCTAAAGAAATGGTACAGAAAAAAAACATTTTTTCATATGATAGCATATAAAAGGCAAACATGCAGCAGTAGTCATAAAATGGTGGTGTATTTAATTATGGCAAAGCATACTAGGGCTGTCTGCCTAAGGGGAGGGATGCCTTCGTGGAGGACTTTCTAAGGGAAACTGGCTCGTATACACGTTACACATCGGGAAAACCACGAAAACGCCCATGCAGCCAGCCCGTTCGTGGGATTCGAACCTCGGACTGAACTACCAGTGTTCAGCGACTTTACCACTCAGCCGCTGGTGGGCTCAGTCATAAAATGGTGATCAACAATAAATAAAATATAAACACATGAATGCATAGCACTCCAGACATTTACTAAAAAGCTTTACATTATTATTATTATTATTATTTTGCATGCATACAAGTAGGAAGAAACATAAAAGGAAAAGAATTTTTTTTTAAAGAATAGATAAGCCATTTAAGTATTCCTCAAGCTATCTGGTAAAAGAGATGGAATAATTCATACCTCACATCATCCAGAAACTTTTCAACCTCTAGCTTTGGAACACTTGTTCTTGTTAAAGATGGGCCTGGTTTACCTCCTTTATATGGCACATAAGCTATGATATCTGTTTGATGATTATATCTGGAACGCAGTGCTTCATCAGTTAACTGATCTGGTTGATAAGCTAAAATGAAATGTTGATATAATATCAATGACAATAACTATGCAAAAAGCCATTAGCAAATATACTAAAGTAACTAGTAAGGTACAAGGTAACCAAAAAAATTCTTGCTGTTTCTGACATGACATTGGAAGAGTGAACCCCAACATAAAAATAGTCACCAAACCTGGTGATGAAGTGGTTAGGCTGGGAGTCTGGACATTGACCAAGAGTATAAAAGTGCGTTGCATCAGTACTTCAAACATAACTCACACAGCGACTGATTGAAATGAATGCGTCAAAGGCACTCATTCTGAGTTATTTGCTGTATGATTTTAAAGTGGGCCTGTCAGCAGCAAAATCAAGTCACCGAATTCACCAGGCCTTTGGGGATGATGTCGTTAATGAAAAAACCGCTAAATTTTGAAAAAAATTTTGAAAAATTCAATATTTTTAAGTATTTATGATTCTAAACATTGCATTAATATTACAAAATGCATCAAAATAAAACTGGAAATATGACAAAAATTATGAGCTAACATTTATATACTACTTGCATGTAACAAAGCAGAATGTCTTTCATTGCTCTATCACTGAGGAACTCTGTAAACAAGTGGTTAAAATTATATTTTAGAAGAAGAGAAATATGTATAAAGAAATTTTCACCTCATTAGGGTCAAAGATTTAGGGAGCTAGTGAACAGAGATCAGACTTCCCTTCCTAATCAATAACTAGTTAGAGCTCAAATTCCATTTGAGTTTTCTTAGTGGTATACTTGTTCAGCTCACATTATCAGACAGAAGCAGAAATCAATCTTCAAGAAGTTACAGCAGAGATGTCAGTCTTTACCAGAACTACACTGAAAATTTGGCACTTTTTTTCAGTCAAGAATTACAAAGTGGTGATTGTAAAGAGATTTATTTATAGCTTGAGACTTTGAAATTTTGCATAAGACCTTTCAACAAAAAGCATTGTACAGAAAATTAACCTTGGTTACCCATGATAACCTTGAAATTAATCGAGCTACTTGGAGTCGCTGCCTAACGTAGCCTGTGAAAAAGTTCTCAAGGCACTTAAGTTCATTTTATTATAATTTAAAAATAAATTTATAAACATTAATGTACTAAAAGCATGTTCTATAGTCATTAAACCATACAATAAAAAATGAAAATTAAGAAGGGATAACAAGGTAGAAATTAACAAATTTGAGAAAAGTGCAAAAATTTTTCAAAAATGTTTTAATTTTTTACTTACATGCAGTATTCACTATTACATGAGCTGCGAGCAGTTTAAGAGAATGAACTTCAAATATTACAGGATGGAATAACAATTTTCGAGCTGATGGCCGTTCTGAAGCACTTTTTCTGAGACATTGTTTTATAAAATCCTGCAAATCAAAACTTTGTTTAAGATTCATATGAGGGAGGCATGTGTTAAGGTAAATATTTAATACATTCAAATCATGCAAAAACTTGTGCCCTTGACAAAATATTTCACAATTAATTACACATAATGAAACATGTTTAAAGTTATGTTTAAAGTTATATCTCCCTACCAGACTGACAAAGCTGACCACTTTAATAAAAGTTGTAACTTCAAAGAACTAATTACAATAAACTTTTTTGTAACTTGAAATTTAAGAAAGCCTAAATTTTAAAAAGACATAAAAAAAAAGCTAGACAAGATCTAAAGCACGTATCTAGATACTTTTGCATATTCTGCAGCATGCGCCGACTTAACTCGTCCGCTGGTTTAGAATTTGAAATCTCAAAGCTCCTTAAAAAGGTCATCAGAAAAGTGTAATTTCTTGATTATAACTCTAAAATGATCTTGTGACTTTGCGCCAAGCCAATATACAGCCCTAATGACCTAAAAACTTTTCAAAATCCTGACATAAATAGGTAAAGGTATTATGATAAATACAGCTGAACATGTAAAATATGTACAGCTTGGCCAGCTGAAGGGTAATGCCAACAGGGGCATGATCACAGTTTACATCTTATATTAGGCAACCTGATATTTCCCTTAAAAAATAATGCACTACCATACTGACTAGATTAAAATCATGCGCAAAACCTAAAGATGTGAATTCTATTGCATGTGATACCACCAAAAAGACATCGATTTTTTCATTTCAACATTAGGACTTGATTGCATTGACTAAAGTTCTTATTATCTTCATTTTAATCGTTTTTGAATTAATTAAACTATCAATGTGAGATGTTAATCATCAAAATTCACAAACTTTTGTATACCTGCGCATTGATCATCTGACTGCTGCTTATGAATAACATGCAGCATATGCCAATACTATCAACATTGGAAATGTTATCATCACAAAGATCACATGAAGGTTTCCCAAGAAAATCACATTTTCAAAAGAAGTTAACAACTGAACATGTATGTACCTGCTTCGATTGTCCACAATATACCATTTAGAAATATTTAGAGACATGACATTTCTGCATCTAGATTAACGATTGTTCTTAAATGTTGAGAGTATAGCTTGCAGTAGATATGTTCTGTTAGAAAGCTTGAATTCATCACAGTCAAAGTGTTGCAAGTATGGTTAAGCTGAAGAAACTGTCACTTGGAAGGGGAGGAGGATAAATCATTAAAGTGAGCAAAATACTTGTATGTATTCAAAATATTTCTCCTTTTTAAATCATTATTTTTTTAACCATTCTGTTCAAATGAAAGCAGAAATACAAACTTTATTATTACTACAGTAGAGGTAAGTATCAACAAATAATATAGATTTTTAAATAGTGTGTTATTTTAGTTTAGACTGTAACAAGATGCTTTATAGATGCTTTATTTTCCTTCCCTGCATTTAAAACAAGACAGACAGCTAAGTATTGCTTTAAAAATTGTCCGTTCTTCCTCTAATCATGAACTCTTTCTAAAGTTTTCCTATGCATTGGCAAAACCAATCCATACTCACCTACTTCAAAGATATAATTTTGCTCCTATGATGCTCGTATTCTTTCCATAAGCACATATATTATTTTAACATACATATTCCATTTAAACATCAGTTTACCATATAAAACTTTCTGAGAAATCTTTTTCTCGAAAGACTCAATCCATATACCTGATTCTGTGAATTCCTCTAAATTTAAGATTTTTTTTATCCGTTCTATAGAATGGGTTCTGAAATATGTGCATTCATTTAATCTCTTAAGCTACTTAAAAACAGTTTGTTTACCTCACATTTTTGGTTTAATGAATATTTGTGGCTGCAATGCAAGATTCATTTCTTACATAGCTTACCAGCTCCTCAACTGTAGAACATTAGTTTCATTTTTATTGTTCTTGTTAACAATTCTCACTCACTGACCCTGCTCATATAATTTTACACATTTCCAAACTTGCTGCAGATGTTCTGTGACCAGTATTTTTTAAGAAATTTTAAGCGTTCACTTTTTCCTTCTTTGCTTAATTTTATTATTCAAAGACAGTATGTCTCACTAGCCAAAAAAAAGGGGGGATAGAAATGTTCAGGTTTAACAAGAAATTCCTTTAGAGATAGCTATACACAAAAATAATATTAGAGATTTTATCTCACTAGGTTAAGCAACTAATGCAAGTAAAAAAATTCAAATGAGTCCATTTTTATAAACCTACAGAACTGTTTCTCTTCTGTTACTGTATGCAATGTTATGCTTCCTAACCTCTACCAACAAAATTTGAATCCACCTAATAAAAGCCTAGTTGGTTAATTAATTATGGCAAATCATAAGAGCACAATCTGCCTTAGAAAGGATCCTCCAGGGAGGACCTTTCAAAGGAAAACCTCATGTTCATGTTTAACATGAGAAAAAACATGCAAACCCTTTGCAGTCAAAAACAGTCAAAAAACCTGCTGAAAACCGAATTCACGAAGAACTACTAGTGTAAATATTAAATTATCTTCTTTTCCTTTACTAAAGGATGAACACCTGCTTCATAAAAGAAATAATTTTAAACTGCATGAATATGATCAATCCTTAAAATGCATTATTCCTCTCTTATCACTAAGTTGTTAAAGAGTCTAAAAGGAGTTAATTTAAAAGCTTCTATCAAGAGTAAAAAGATGGACCAGACAAGAGATCACATTTACAGGTTGAGTTAGCATTCATTTGGTAGATAACTGATCATTTGATTCATTTGGTAGATAACTGATATGTACTGAACAAGCAGCCACTTCAAGGGATATTTTGACATCAATTGCTTACAGCCCAAGATAATTTTAAGAAAAGTCACATAGATTATGTGGAATTCTACTAAGTAGCCACTTTCCAGCTTCCTCTACATAAAAACAACAAACAATACTAGTCACAAACTAATATATTTTTATTTTCAAAAGTCTTCAGAAATATGAATGAATTCACTAAATTAAAAGAATCATCCAGCAAATCTAGTCATGTGGATTTCTCAAAGGCCTAATGGCTTATGATTGCTAATGCTGGGAAATTTTGCCCAATGATTTAAAATAGCTGTCTTAAGACTAGTATTGACAAGGTTAATATCCTAAATGAGAGCAGCTTATCTGCCTGTATTTTAGAGATGTGCATAAAGTATTTTTTGAAAATTAACACAAATCTTAGCTAAATTTTCACAAATTTTAAATTCAAAGCCCAGATTGTCCCTCTTCACCCACATCTATCAGTGTACTGATATTAACTAATAAACCATAATGAATTACCTAAAATACGTCTTGTCATTTTAAATTTTCACTCTACAAATTCTTAATTACAGGCCCACCAGCGGCCGAGTGGTAAAAGCCGCTGAACACTGGTAGTTTGGTCCGGGGTTTGGGCTGGTTGCATGGGCGTTTTCATGGTTTTTCCCATGTGTAACGTAGATATGAGCCAGTTTCTCTTAAAAAGACCTCCAAGGGCATCCCTCCCTTTCCGTGTAGTACCTAAGGGCGGAGCACGTAATAAGCAAAAAAAAATTCTTAATTACTAATACAACTGAATTCATGAAATCTACCTTTTGTAAAGGATTTTCCAAAGCTTCAATGGTTCGATTCACAACATCTTCAGTCACTTGACTTCCACATTCCCCATTTCCTGAAATTTCTAGGGCAGCCATCTGAAACAATAAATGAACATTGAGTTAATCTACAATTTCATTATTTAAAAGCAAGTATGAATAACCTTGACAATGTAAAATTAAAAAAGTACCTGTAGGTAAGAATAACTTACCTCCAAAGCACACATGCCAAAAGCGTATATGTCAACTGCAGGAGTTACCATGGAAACTGTAAATTTACCAGGAAGGACTTGAGTAAATCAAATTAAGTAAGGTTTTAAACTGTTTCATATAACAGTTCTGATGAGAATTCATTTCATTGAAAACTAATAACTGATTTATTCTTTTCAACGGCAGTCTAACAAAAGCTCAAATTATAAAAATTTGATATTTATCAAATCTTTATATTCAGTTAAGAACCACCTTTCATTTAAAAAAGATTATCACCCTCCCCAACTGACAGAAAACATACAATTCAGCAATGAAACATAACAGAATAAAGTGAACTTAATCTAAAATATCAACATTACAACAAGAACCATTATAAACACCCCACAAAGAAAGCAAAGTTAGGAAACAACATTTTAGCAGGTTTAGAATATAGGCTGTAATGAATATTTTAAAGAAGAGTAATGCAATAATGTAAGATATTTAATTCTAAACAATCTAACAGTATTATAACTCAATTTTTAGCTACATTTAAAATTGCAGAATTCTGTTTTATATCACAAATTTAACACAAAAAGTTTCCTTAACTGAAATTATACATAACAATGCTAGATTCATGCACAGAGTAACTTAATTCCTAAACCATTTTATATACATATATATATATATATAGAGAGAGAGAGAGCTACAGTACAAAATTTGAGATCTGGACTGATCAGGACTTCAGTGATTCTAGATTTCGGAAATTTTAGATCATCAGTTTAAATCTACTAAGATGACAAGTAAACATGGCAACACAGAGATTTATTGCTTACGCCAGATAGAAAAATGTCACCTATCTCCCCATAGAGCCTGAGAAGGCTCAACTGCTGTGGCCATAAACAAGTGTCAGAATTTATTTTTTTTTTTTTTTTTTTTTTTTTTTTTTTTTTTTTTTTTTTTTTTTTTTGTTTTTTTTTTTTTTTTTTTTTTTTTTTTTTTTTTTTTTTTTTTTTTTTTTTTGTTTTTTTTTTGTTTTTTTTTTTTTTTTTTTTTGTTTTTTTTTTTTTTTTTTTTTTTTTTGTTTTTTTTTTTTTTTTTTTTTTTTTGGGAGTAAAAAACTATGGAAGGCTGAATTCTTAGAATTTAGATGAGGCACTGGTCAGTATAATTTAAGGGCACTGAAATTTTTAGAATTTGTGGAGATACCAGGCAGCAAAATTTAGATTTTCCACACAGATTGCACCAGGCGGCAAAATGCACTCAAGGGACGAAAGCGTCCTGCCAACATCAAAACAATGTCACTCAATACATTGTTATTGGCCATTCAAGCCAGAAGGTGTTTAAAGGTGACATGTAGAAATCTCAACCAGTACAAAGAAAAATCACATTTTCAGCAGATTCACCTACTTTTGTTACTATATTTTCCATTCATAGACTTTGCAAGGGAGGATTTTTTTATTATTTATATATACACACACACATATATTTGGCTGGTGATCCGAAGTCTGGATTCTGGACATTCGGATTTCAGAATTTGTACTATAATATATATATATATATATAACAAATTAGAAATGAATGATATTACTCCTTACATAAAATTTTCTTCCATTTTTACAGATAAATCATGAAACACAATAGAAAACCAGTATAACTTACTAAGAATAAAATACGAATTATTCCAATCAAAAAAATAAAATGCAAAATTTTTATATCATTCAAACTCATTCCAGTAGTAATTCTTTCATAAATAATCTGAGAAATACATACATACATTTGTTGATTTTTTAGACAAAGTAATAAGGAAAATAATGTCACCAAAATTAGGCAACATAACATAGCAATAGCAATAGCAAATCAAAAAAATCAAACTTAATGGAAAAACAAGAACTTACTTTATTTCCAAGAATACAAATTCCTACTTAAATAAATAAATAAAAAGTTTTATTTTTCAGGTAGCTGCAAACTGAAAATATGAGGTTACCTATCAGGAATACAATTTTTGAAGATGCGAATCATTTAGTGATGCAAAGTTCTTAATTTTTTCACACTGCATCTACATACCATTTCTACGGTTCGATATAATTTCAATTCCTGCTTGTTTTTGCAAACTGAGGTAGATATTAAAATAGCTCTTCCTTGGAAGAAAGCAAAAGCTTAATTTTCACTTGATGATAAATTGAAAATTGTCATTATTTTGAATCCAAAAAAGAACTTCCTACAAGCTTTTTAGAAATTTCTAGAAATGATAGAAAACAATTCTTATTACTTGGTTTTGGATTTGATTTTTAGAGAAAATACATGAGTACTTTACAAGTATGAAGATGGACTGAAGAAAAATCTCTAATTCAAACTTAAAGCTTGTGCACAAATTTTTATCGTAAGAGAAGAGAACGCACCCAAAAAATGATGTCATTTGGTGATAAATGCCACCAAACTGGGCGATTAAAAACATAGTTACCAATTAACCAACAAATACCTTATATTTATATGCATAAAAGTCAGAAAACGATCAGAGCATCTTTATGTAAATGAACCCTTATCTTCTATGGTTTATAATTATTCAGAATATTTCAGTAAGAGATATGTTTGCCAAGACATAAAATATATATTCAGAAACTTGTACACAAAGAAAAGTGTTTGTAAATTATCTTACTACCAAGTAAAAAAAAAATAAGGTGCTACAAATAACAAAAAGTAATGCTCATGAAAGTTTTAATCACGTATGTCACTTGACTAAAACCTTCACAAAAGAAAGAAAATATAATAATGCAGAAAACACTGAATGAACCCAAAGCATTCCTGATGTGAGTCTTGTACAGAAACTTAGGGAATGGAAATGGGAAGGAGCCAAACAGAAGTTCTTAACCAAAGGGATATTAAGAGCAACTATATTTAAATGTTAGCTTAAATTTACACCAAATGAATGCAAACAATACCTTCAAAGCCAAAAATATATATTTTTTATAATAGCCCAAAAATATATTAATTGTTTTAAAATGTGTGCAAGACAATTTATTTCTACCATCTTTATTTCTACTCATATCTTTATTTCTATCTCATACTTTATTTCTACCATCAATTTCTTTAAAATATTTTCCATAAAATGAAATTTATGTTTTATCCTAAAACTTGTTTCATATTGCCCCATACAAGACAAATTTATTTGCATTCCTATGTTAATTACAAATACAGTCTGACAAGTAGTCTCAAACACATGTGGGTTGAATGTACAATTTGAAAGCAGCTAGCCAGCAAATATTTTTTCAACAAAATAATTTTAAATTATATAAATACTTATCAAAACATACATAATCATCAGTAATAATAATGTAAAAGAAAATATTCAAATTTATATTTATTTTCTACCTGCAATCTAAAGGTAATGCAAGAAATTTTTGTTGGTTATACTTTGTTATTCAAATATACAGACAGTTAAATATAAATTTTCGAATTCATAGTTCATAGCAGCATTCATTCATAGTTATGCCTCTGAGCCATAACTATGAATGCTGATCACTCTCAGAAACCACATTCACTTTAAATAATACTATAGACTGGAACTCCAACATATGTCCACCACATTTTCAATCACCAGACTTGCATATTTCTGGTACTAATGTGTGCATGGAAGTGCAATTTTGCGTTCAATTATATTTAATTAACATAAATAAGTACAACCTTGGACACTGGTTGCAACATTAACTTAGTGAGCATTTTTTTCTCATTGTCCTTTAGTTTTGATGACCAGTGTATTATATCCTGTTCTTTTTTAGCATGTATTTTGTAAAAGTATTTCCTTGTTAAAATGACTACTTTCGTCAATCTCCAGAACTTGAAAAAATTGCAATATCATAACAACAGTAAAAGTAAACTTGTAATGCATTATGTAATGCACCTAATGTTTGTGTATGTTGTATAACTCTGATTTTTTTTAACATGAAAACAGATTGCCATGTACATAGAGAGAACAACAATGATGAATCATATAATACAGTATGTATAATGTATATTTTATCATATTCTCTTTAAGCTTAATGTCTTAAGAACAATTTTTAAAAAATTAATTTCTTTTGATCTGATGTCAATCTGTCTATAAAAAAATGATACTTTGTTCTCCCCATGTGCACAGTGATCCATTTTTGCTTAGAAAACATCAGAACATTTACACAAATTCGGCATTGCATACATTAAACATTACATATATTATGCAGGGTGAGGGAGAAAGACCTTCTCGATTTGGGAAGCTAATAAAATCCAAACTAAATATAAGATATGAAGATTTTCTTTTTAATTTTTTGAAAGTACATATAATGCCCTTTTACATAATGTTTTTTTTTTTTTTTTTTTTTTTAACAAAACATCACTCAAGTGGTTTAGGGACTGATTCAGCCTTTCTTGGTAGCAATTTCCTGCTGTATCATCTCCTTCAGTGTTTTCAAACTTGGACATCCAATAGCAAGTCTCCCCCCCCCCCCGCCTCAAAAACAGGGATCAAACGAAGTCTATCAAAAGGCAAGCTGTGTTATTGGAGATACAAAAACATGATGTTCTCTTGACCAATTTATGCCTACTCTGAAATGGTTGAGTCATTATTCGATGGTATGCTCCCTCGATGGTATCACTATAACTTTTCCCGAACTCTAGTTATGCTTTTCCCAAATAGGATAGTTCTATTGTACCATGTATGATGTGGTCTTCATTTTTTTTAAGGTTGCCACAATGCTTTCAAGATTTCGCCAAATTCATTTTAAATGACATCAAATTTCGACTGTTTGTACTGGCTGCTTTATCAAGGAAGTACCTTTGCATCTTATGAATAAATTATTTCTTGAATTTTCAAAATTCTGGGGATCATAGATACTGAATCAGCAGATACATGGCATTTGACAGTTTTTTGTATTTACTGACACTATAATAGACACTAAAAAATAAAAAAATATCTAGTATTTGAAGCAGTGTGAGGAAGCTATGCTTCATCTGCTTAAAATTTCAAATGCTTTGAAAATCATGATTAATGCACAACTGAAACTACTTATATTCTAGATATGATTGAATTTTTGAACAAGACAGAGAATTCCAGACAATAAAGAGTATACTGAAACGTCATTAAAAGGATTTATGGACGACCATTAAAATGAATTTACAATGCTAAGTTTCTGACAAGTATGAAGATATTTCAGAAAAACAATGAAGATAAATTTTTAGATAAAATTGAATCTGCATACAAACTGATAATCCTGCAGTTACAAATAATAATCATAGTTCATATAAAAAAGAATAAAAAGATCTTTTAATTACAAGAAGCCTTAGTTAATCACTGTGTCAGCCACATTGAACCCTTCTTTGACTAACATTTATTAAAAAAAATAATTTAACAAACTCTTTTATCACTATGTCTTTTCCCACAGCTGGTCTCTCATGACATCTATATATCATGGGTGAATGGTCACAGGGAAACCAAGCTGCCTTCGCTATGGTTAAAATCGTCATTTACACAGTGGTCTGTACGAGACTCATAATGGTATTGTCAAGTTCGATTCAGACTGTGTGTATTGCTGCATATAATTTAGATATTATCTGGTGGGCAAGTATCCCAAATCTCTCTATGGACAGCATCGCTGTCTGGGTCAGGAGCTTGTCTGCTGGAATACTGTCACTATTTCTTAATTCTGAAGATTACAATAGCATATCATCATTCTTAGCTGAATTTTTTATCGCTCTGTATTGCCTCTAAATATTAAAGCTTTCAGATGAACTCTTTCATAGACTTTTCCTTACTACATATAGCTTTAGAAACTTTTTTTTAAATTTTGCCAAGATATATTCTTAAAGCCTGTTAAGTTGAAAATTTCATTTGATTTGTTTTATTTTGATTTAAAATGTTATAATCAATCAGATAACAAAAGCAGGGTTCTACTAAATAAAACACAGGTAACAAGGAAGCATGAGGTTGTTTTTTTCTTTTTCTTTTTCTTTTTTTCTTTTCTTTTTTAAACAGAGTAATTATCTTCAAATAATTAATATGATAAACTGGAATGAAACTTTAACAAGACATTGACAGACAATGACAGAAATTTAACATACATGTTTTAATTCCATATTCAGGTGCTATGAAATGCATATTCATCAGATCCTCCCGGCAAGTCTTAACATGATGATGGATTGCATCTGGTGCAACTAAAAAAAAAATGTTTTTAAATGCACTATTACAAAACATATTTAAAGTTACATTTTAGAATGCTTCTATTTGCATTGAAAGTTATGTTTACTGCAAAGAAACAGAAAAACTTAAATCTTCCTGAAAAATGCAACACTTACCTGAGCCAATTTTTATCAGCCCATTATGCTGAATGAAAATTGTATCACAAGTCAGATTTCCATGAAGAATAGGAGGTGCGCAAGAATGCAGGTAACTGTAAAAATAAGCATAAACTATTCTATTTAAATGTATTAAAGCACTGCTGAAGAAGGGAAAACAAGTATAGCTTCTAATGCAAAAACTCTACAATACTCAATAAGAAAAATCCTTTCTGATGAATACATAAAACTCCTTTTCACTACATTTAAAAACTAAATTTTATTTTAACAAGGTCATCTATAATTAGATTACATGTAATAATTCTTGACTCTCCACACATACTTCCCTTAGGGATATTTTTATTAAAAAAACCTGCCCAAATTTTTTGCATTTGTTACTGTATTCATAAACTCTGCAAAGGTGACATTAAATATCTTTGATTAAAACTAAATAACAAAAGCTATCAATTAAAATTATGAACACAGTCTGATAGATCATTCTCTACTTGAACAATATACTCTTCAGCAATATTTAAATTTACCTAAATTAACTCATTTGTATTCTCAGAAGAATTTTAAGAACATTTAAAGGTCACAATTATATAATGAATTCCCTTGCTATGTCTTCCTGTCAACCTGTAATATTCATATATTCTGTAAGTCTACAATAAATGCTACAATCATCAATGGTTTGGAGAAATCTTAATAAATATTCAGATATAAAAATAACTTTGGTCACAAAAACTTATCTAAAAATAAAACCACATAACTACAAGAGTAACAGCATGAGAATTTTTACTTAAGTTTCTTTTGAATGAACAAATATAGCACATGTTACCTGTACACCACAAAAAATATAATGCAGCTTAAATTTATATTTTAAAAAATCCCATCTCTACAGCTAAGCTATTACCAATTACATCATTCACGTAGAATGACAGCCTAATTCATCAGTCATTGAACTGCCTAAGGAGCACAAGTGGGTCATAGACAAGAAGGAGGAAAAACCAACAGAGCCAAATTTTAAACAAGTATCAAAACTTCACTCTTGATTTTATTGGCATTTACATAACCCTAACCAATAAACTACTGGACAGCCAAAGAAAAAAATGAAAAAAAATATTAAGTGGCAATTTCAAACTAATATCTTTACATTTTGTTTTATCAGACACCTAACGTTTTCTGATTTCTTTACGATATCATTTCCAAACTATATTATAAAGACAGAATTATGCAAAATCTTTGAAAGTACAACCCACTTTGGTCTACTATTCAGCAGATATGTATATAATTATAATCAGTTCTGAGGCTAATAATATATTACAATGTAATATTATAATAAATTGCTAATCTTGGAACTAAATTGTTGTTAAGACGAAAAGAAGAGCAAATACTGTGTTTCTTAAAATTTGCCTTAAAAATATTTTCTCCTTTGCCCTCTTAGTTAAGTAATGAAAGTAATTAACCACTTGCGCTAAAAAGACGTGCCACGCACGTCGAGATGCTTTTGTCTCAAACCGCACACAAAAATGAAAATGACGTGGTGCACACATCGCCTAACAACGAGATTGTTTATTGAGTTACAGCTCTGGATTGCACTCCCAGATGCAGAGCGGCGTAAATGAGACACTTTACCGCTTGTTATATTGTATATTGTAGCGTAATGCAACCACAACCGTGAAGTTTAGTCATAGCGCTAGTGGTTAATCTAGCACATGCGGAAATTCAACAGCGTTTTAACGGAAGGTATTTGTGATCAGAACTTCTAGGGTAATTTGATAAAGGCAAGTAACACAGTAATTAAAGAGAAGTACAGACTTACATTGATGTAAATGCCTTGCACTGGAAAAAGGAAATTAAATAATAAAGGGCAGATAATATATCAATCAAAATAAAGAAATCCAGGGGAAAACATACCTTATCTATTAAAATGACATTATTTGATAACCATATCCATAATTTATCGATAATATTAGCATATGGTAAATCATGGCGATGATAATTTTGGTAGTTTCTTTGAAATCCCTTCAGAGTCATCTGGTTTCAAAGAAACTGCATATGTTTCTACCACGGGTGAAAGCTTGAAAAAGGATAGCTGAAGCACTCAAAATTGTAGCACATTCATTCTTTTGGAACACGACAGCAATAATCAGGGCTGGCAATGGAGCACATGCAACCGATGCAGCTGCACTAGCTGCCAAATATTTTTTTTTAAATTAAAGCAGGAACTGGGAAGCAGAATTTCGGAGGAAGTTTGCACTGAGCAATAAAAAGTCTAGCACCAGCTTTGGCAGCAATTTAAAAATCTTACATGCACAGAGCTGACAAACTAATGCCTAACAGGGCTATCAAACATAATTATTTTCAACCAAATAAAAACTAGAAAAGATATGAAAACTTGGTCTCAAAAAGATTTGCTGCACTCTGCTGATTAATGACTTAATCACCTGGGAAAACTTAGTGTTTATAATCCTATTTGTTTACAAGTTCACTGAGAAAAATCAAAATAGTGATGATAAGGAAAAGTTTGGTTAGAGTTGACTTTAGGGTACCCTTTGTATTATCGCAAAGTTGTTTCATTTATCACCAAGCTGTTGTTTTGTTTATCGCCAAGTTGTTGTTTCATTTATGGTAACCTGAATTGTTGAATGTCATGGTAACCTGAGTTGTTGAATGTTATGGAAACCCTATTATGACATAAGCGTTTGCATTATTCCGGAAAATTTTGAGTCATGAGATGTTTTGTAATGGCTTTTGTGGTGTGTGTTTGTGGTGAGGAAGTAAATTGCTTGTTTCATTGTTTAGATGGTAGAATGGCTGAATGTAGTAAGATTAAATTGAAGTTTCTGTACAATTTGGAACGAAAGGGAAAAAGTGCATTAATTGACTGGTGTGTAAATGAAGGTTTACTTAGCAGCCATTTTCCGGACAGTCCAGAATACGTAGGATACTTTTTACTCTTATTTTCGTGAATTTATGTGGTGACGCCAATATACGGATTCTAGTTTAGATAATTTTAGGAAGTTTTTGCATGCTGTTAAGGAATTTTGTGTGCCACATAGGTAAGTGGATATTTGCTTAGTGTAATGCTTAAATGCATAACAGGTTTTTCTTTTTTATGTTATTTTATTGTTTGGTTTAAAATGTAGTTTATTGAGATTATGTATTTTTTGTTTGCCTCTACTGTAGAATTAGGTGCTTCTTTGACTTTTTAAGTGAAAATATATCGATGTGTACATGGACAAACTCAAGGGAGTGCACAATGCCTAGTTTGTGCAATTCTGATGTTTTTTTTTAAGTGAAAATAGGTCAATGTGTACATGGATAAAGTCAAGGAAGTGTGCAATGCTATTTTTTGTGCAATTCTGGAATGTTTTTTTAAGTGAAAATAGGTCGATGTGTACATGGATACTGAGTTTGTGCATTTTCTTGTCTAGTTACTTTGTGTAGCGACGATTTTTGGCGCAAAAATCGCTGCTATGCAAGCCAAAATAACATGTCAAAGAATTGCACAAATTCGGTATCCATGTACCGCCAAAAATCGCCAAGTTTCGCCAAGGGGTACCCTAAAATATACTTTTACCAAAAGTTTAATTACATATTTGAAATTAAAAAATTAACTAAGCCAGCAAATTTACAAAAAACTGGACTTAGAATTTCTACTAAACATTCTTAAGGACAGTGTCAATATGAAGCCTTAAATTAGCTAATTTAGCAGGTATGTTAAAATGTCAGTAATTTACATCTGCTAGTCACTGAATTAAACAGAATGTTACTACAAAACTGCACTGAATCTGTTAAAATAATTTTGCAACTGTAACAATCAAAAATGTTTTGTGTACTATTAGGGATGTACTTGTCATTCAGAGCAAATTTGCAGTATAAAACTGCAAATAACCAACTGAAGAATATTTACCTCAAAGCAGATAGAATCTGTGAGCACCAACGTTTCCAAGCCTAACAAAAAATAAAGATTAAAATTTCTAAATACAAAAATTATTACACTGTGATTTAAACTTTGGGAAAGACATTAGAAATGCTTACTTGAATTGGTAATTTAATAACATTTCGCTTAGTTTTTTTCAAAAACTGTTTCAAAGAGCCACTAGACATGTACTCAGTAATAAAAATAACTCTTGGTTTTTCAGAATCCTTATCAATCCAGTACTTATGAAGCTTCACAATATTTGGATGATCGAGTTGAGTTAGACTATCAAAAACACCTCTTATCTTTTCCTAAAACATAGAAATGTAATATGTAAGATAAAACATTATACATTTGATCATTTAATACTTGAATATGTTTTGTGGCTCTTGTTTTAAGCTTAATATTTGTTGGTAGCCATTTGAGGATAATTTTTTAACACATTAAATTACTGAAATAATACAGTGAACAAGTATGTAAATTTTCCTCTAAATAGTCTCAGATATTTCATACATCATTTCAACAAAATGTATCTATTACTTCAAAATTTACACAATAATTAAAAATTTACTAACATGCACATGCATAGATTAAAAATTTATTAACATGCACATATTAGTTTGTGATTTTATATATCAAGCATAAAACTATACTGAAGACATTTTGTAAGATAATGTTACATTATTTTTGCCTTCACCAAAATTTAAAAAAAAAAAAAAAAAAAAAAGCACACAAAGTAACACATGAAATGGAAGCACATGCATACATATACAGACAATTTTAACTATCAATAAAATTCAACCTTAGGTGATATTAATTTCAATAACAAATAACATATTTCAAACTGCATTCTTTGAAATATGTTATTTGTGAAATAAAACTGTGTAATATAAACTTTAAACTCTGAAAAATATTACTTTAAAGCAAAACTGTATAATTTACAAGACAGTTTCAAAAATGTTCATAAATATTTTAACTCATTATTTGCAATTAACAGTCAACTATTTTTGCCCTGAAAAATATAACAATTTTTCCATTCTACAAACAAGATACTAAACAAAAGGTGGGTATAGTTTTAATTCCTTGAATACTGACCCTAGGCAGATACTTTCAATTATAATGTTTCTTAAAATAATATGCAAAATTTTTATGAAAGGAAATTCCATACTGGAGTTTAGAAGAGTTCCGTTAAAAAATTTAGCTTTTTATATGATCCTTATATAATTAAAACCTCCATTAACTTCATTACTTAAAGAAAATGTTGACCTTCATTGAATAATTTATAAAATTTTTCAAGAGAAAATATACTAATTTAAATAATTTTCCTCTATCATAAAATCCTTGAGAACAAATTCTGGAAGGAGATACCACAAAAAAAGGGGGCTCATTTAAAAACACCCCAAGCAAATTTTTCATACTTTCTTTTCTTATGAAGCTCCATAATTGACTATGTCTGTCTACAACAAACATTTAAAGAAATAACACTTGCAGCAGATTTTTTTTAATACCTTGTATGACCTTGATGCAGCCATAATGATACCTCCCCTCCTACACACACACACACACACACACACACACACACACACACCACAAACACACACACACACACACAACAAAAAAAAAAAAAAAAAAAAAAAAAAAGAGAGATTATAAGACAGGCTTTTATAGCAAAAGTGGATTTAATGTACTCTCATCAGGGATTTTTGTACCAGTGACAGAATGATTGGCTATAAGAAACAGTAGTTGTAGCGAGCACTAACTATACTTAACATGAAATTTCAATATGCACCATTGTACAGCCCATGGAAAATGAAAGCCCTTATGCAGAGAGTTTATCAATAAAATCATATTCAGCTGTCAAGGGTAGAGAACACACTATTTAACCACTTAGTTCTTATCACTTATAAAAAAACTCAAAGTTTGATTTTTATAGCTTCGTTCTCATATGATAAACCTGATTTTCTATGAATAAACATATTTAACTGAAAATGCAAGGTCTTTAGAAATCATATACCTGAATTCAATATATATGTATACATGTAATATATATATTTACATAATATATGTATGTAAAATTACATATATATGTAAATTTAATAAATTATTAAATTTATGAATAAAAAAATAAACTATCGAAAATTCTGCTGATGTGAGCGCAGAAACTTATAGGGCAAGATAATATACAAGAAACTATGAAGTCATGAATCAAAAATGTCAGTATACACAAACACGATTCTTACACAATTTGATGTTAAGCTTAATGATCGCCACGTGAAGCAGTCAGCCCACAACAGTACCTGAGAAAGCACACAACGGCACTAAAATGCCTTCTTATACAGTCATATATAGAAACTGCATACGTTTGCAACTAATATACAAAAATATAATACATGTACAGAAAATATTATGCAACTAATATACAGGTGAGTAATATTCAGAAACATGTAGCAGAAACATTGGAGGGTACAGTCCAGGTATTAACCGCTTCCCTTACAAATTTTTTTGAAAAAAATTGCAAAAAATCATCACATTTTTTTATTTTATTATTAAATACAACGAAATGAAACAAATCAAAATATGTAGATTTTAAGTTGAATTTTTAATTTTTTGAAGGTGTAAAAGCATTTAGTTTTAATATTAGTTTACTATCCCGAGTTATCTTGGGCAAATGAAAAAAGTTAAATATTAGTCTTTGTATGATAGTTTTTCAAACAAGGAACAACACGAAGTGATACCTGACATTCTACACTGCTATGTGGTCTCTTTTCTTACTGGCTTACAGCTGGAATCTCTTTCAAGGAAGCATAGAGTACACTATCTCGTTGGATTTCATTTTTAAAAAAAAAATTTTCCACCTCTTCATAATCACTATCTGAAAAATCATCGCTTTCTCTATCTTGCATCATCGCCATTATTTTATTTTTTTTTTAAGGCATGTATCCTTTTTTATGCATTATTAATCCACAAGCTGACGTATACAGTACAATAGGGAAACACGTAACCAGTCTTTCCAAAAAAAACTATGCAACCAACAAAATTCGGCAAACTGCCAATCAAAGCTGAATATTTCCTTTAATTTCCTCCAGGCCGAGTAAAACCGTGATGAAACAAATCGTACTAACAAATTCTGCTTTGCCCAAGTTTTCACGGGATAATAATTAACTGCAATAAATACGAACCCGAGATAACTTTGGATAATCAGGCAAGCGGTTAAAGGATGCCCAATCTATCTTATAGAAGCTGTGCAAGCAAGATTACCAACCAGTGTGCATTGTGGAGGCAGTAAGATGTTAAATGTAATGAAATTCATGCCGCTCTGCAAATTGTGAAGAACTTATCCCAGAATCCTACTGAACATACCAACCTCAACCTGTTATTCAAAAAAAAAAAAAAAAAAAAAATTATTAGCACACAGCTAATATAATTTTAATTTTCAGCACCAAAGTTGTCTTCAACATTTCCTGGCTACTGTTTGCTATGCAGATGGTACATTTTCAATATCACAACCATTATTTGCTCAAGTTTGTACAGTGATGGCAATAAAAAACAAGGGCGTCGATCCCGTATTTTATGCCTACACAGCAAACAAGTAACATATAACGAGATATTTAGTATGATTAAAGAACTAATATTAAATGTGGCACCTTCGGAAATTCACTGTGATATTGAGCAGGCAGCTTTCACAGCAATCAAGGAGAGCTTCTCAGATACTAAGATAAATGGACTTTTTTTTTTTTTATTTGGTACAAAACACGAAAAAACATTTGGATGAAATCGTTGATTACAATAATAATCCCCAATTCATATTATAGGGAAGGAAGATAATTTGCCTGGTATTTTACTTGTGGAACCGCAACCACTTCTCGACTGGTTTCAAGATAATGGATGCCTGAACAGGCAAGGCTATGGTAAGTGTCCACCACTTTTTGCTCATGACATGCTAGACCTATATCATAGGACATTAAATGGCCAAGATCAAACAACCATACAGAGGTGGCCCACAAAATACTACAGTTGGAATTAATAATGGATCATCAAATGATATGGAAATTCACCAAGCATATTAAAAGAGTTCAAAGGGACAACCTGTAGCTGGTAATTTTCCGCCCTTAAAAGTGAAATAGCATAGACTAGCATGAAAGAATTTCATCACAAGTCAATAATTTTGGAAACAATAATATAACAGAATATCTCAGAAATTTAGCCCATAATTACGAAATACGATAATTTTGTCATATTTGATACTGACATAAATTTCCAAATATGTATAATTTCATTATATCCCATATTTGTAAACAATTATAGTATATTACAAGCAACCTTCATTACGTATTTTATTTCTACTAAATGGGAAAATGGCTCATGAGAGTCATGGGCGACGGATTGCCCTGTCACCGAAAGGGTGATGGCTGAAAATCCTTGAACATATTCCTTTTAGGCAAGTGTAAATTTTAATTTTCAGCCTTGACAGAAGAGTAAAAAAAAACTGTCATATTGCCATCCTATAAAAATGAATGTTTTTGCAATGATAAAAATTGAAAGGAAAGTTAGAAAAAAATCAAAAGTATATTTCAAAAAAATCCTTCCCAGGTTTTTTTCAACTGAAATCAGTGATATTTATCTATTTATTATAGCTGTAAGACAAGGCATGCAAATTACTTCAGTCTTTGAAGGTAATTCACAATTTAAGATTCATATTTTCTGGCATTTTTTTTAAGACTTAAGATACTTTTGTGATCATTTCATTACTTATGTGTAACATTACCTTGTTACTTCATTTTGAATTATATAACATCAACCTACTACAAATGATTTGGTAAGGAACATCATATAAACTCTATAGTTACATCTTTGCTTTGAAAAAAAAAAAAAAAAAAAAGCAATTTTACACCTTGCTGATACTATTGTTTGCTATGACAAAATTTATAAATTCTCATGCAACATATCTTTAAAAAAAATACGTAGTATATCTGGGCACGTTTTTCTACAAAACTGAGAAAATTTTGAAAATTAACATTTTAAATTCCAACTTTATGCTAATTCCCATCTTAACTGTGTGTTAACATGTAATGTTTTGTTAATCTTAAAACAAATGAATAAAGTTTAACTAATTGCACATATAAATGCTTAATTTCAAACTTACTTCTTGATATCTAAAACTCTTTCGTTCTGAAAATAAAACTTCATTCCACACAACTTCAACACCTTCTTCTGTATCCATCGCAAGATAAGCAGCATCAATACCTGGTATATCTCGCTGCTGAACCTATTAAAAAATTAAATACATGCTATAAAATAAAAATTGTTCTAATATTGCTATGGAAAATTTATTAAAGAAAAATGTTTTCGAAATATCTTTTTCAATTAATAAATATTTTATATGTGGTTCATTTATTATATGTATTAAGTCATTCCAAAAATTATGCTGTTTCATTAGCAAACACAAAGTAAATCCCGAAGTGATTACTGATATCAAATCATTTAAAAATGTCTGCCACTTTTTGACACCTCATTAGTAATTGGCTCATTTGTCATATAAACTGCATATGCATATGGATGTACCATATGCAAGCTTTAATCTATTTGGCAATTCAGCTTCAAATAACATATACCAATTTAAACTGACACAAAAAAAAAAAAAAAAAAAAAAAAAAAAAAAAAGACTGTAAAACTGTTCACACCAAAATTTAAAAAAGAGAACTTGCACTGTTTCGTTTTGAGTTCACACAAGGTCATACTGAGACTACAACTAGTCAAAATAAGTGCCAAGTGATGATCAGAATGCACAGTCAATTACGAAAGCACAATTCTGGTTTGCAAGGCCATGAATAACCAAAGTTTGGGTGAGGGACTGTCACTAATGAAGATGCTACAGTGTGGTTTGCAGAGACCAAGCCTGTAAAGAAATAAATATTAAAGAAATAACTATTCAGTTATTAAGGACAGAGAAAACTAAGCAGCCAATTCCATGCAGATTGTAATTTTTTTTTTTTTATTCCGAATGGATAATTTGTTAGCAGGCTAACAAATTGTTTTACTTTGACACCTGTCCGTTATTATTATAATAACTGAAGAAACACAAAAAGTGTTAGTAGCAACTTATGCTAGTAGATACTATTTATAAAACTATGTCATTAACTATCAGATAGGATGCAGCATACTTCTGTGTTTTGGCTTTGGCTAGGCTTTCACCTGTTAATGTAATTTTCTTTCTCAATGATGAAGCATTCTTTGTCAATCTATACTGTAATTACTTTAGTACCCTTCTAACTATAATAATCATTGTTAAGCTGGGGAAGGCTGAAGCTCCTGGAATTGGGAGTCAGGTGTTTAAGATGGAGATCCTCTGTACAAGGACAAACCAGGAAGAGGTAGAGTGTGCTGGCTTGGCTGCCTTCTTTTCCACATGCAGAGGCTACTTTTTTTCCACAGGAACTGGACATTGCGTGCAGGGAACATTCCATGGTTCTGTGCACACTTGAACAAAGTGGTGGGCTGCTTTTATTCTTTTCGTATTTACTAACGGGAAGATTCTGACAGTAAGTCATCATGTGTCCTCTTCCTGCTATTCCACAAGCACCAGTTTCTGATGACCCCCTTCATAACATCTTCCAAGGTGGGGAGGTCAGCATCTGTCTCTGGCTTTGTCATTCCTGCTTTGGCTAAAACATCTGCTCTTTCATTTCCTTTTGCACCTATGTGCACTGGACCCAGTTTAGGGTGAGTGGGTGGTTATTAGAATTTTCTTTTAGTGTAGCAGTTCCTTTGCTTTGATATGAGGGATCTTGTGTACTCTTTTATTAAGAACCAATAATATGCTCATACTATTCGTGTAGAATCTCACTCCACGTTCCTGCTCTACATGTGCCTAAAGCACTGCTTTTCGGAGGGTGAAAGATTAAACCAAGAACACAGTTGTTTAATTGGAAAATCTGTAATATTCATTATGGATTTTGTTGTTCTCTTTCAGCACACTGAGTGCCATGCCTATGTGTTCTTCCACTTTTGATTCATCTGTGAATATTTTGCACTACACTGATTCTTCATCCAGCGGATGTTATAAATCTGAGTTGGGTAGCTATGCTATGTTCAGATCTTCTTTTCAACATAGTTACTATTTAATAGGGAATGCATTCCCCTTCTAATGCAATAGTCAATAAATTATTCTTTTTGATTGGGCTTTAAGGTATAGTGCAGGTGTTCTCAAGCTTTTTTGCCCCATGCATCCCTTTCACCACTGCTAAAAGTTCATTCTCTCTCCTTTTTCAAAACTTGAAATATATATATTGGTTTAGATTATTTTTAATGTGCTTTATTAATCAAACAACAAAAAGTACAAAAACGTTAATAAATATCAAAACCTAAAAGTAGTTTTCTTTATTTTCATAAACTAAAACTAACAGTTAAATAAAAGGTTGACCACATTTCTTCCCTAAAACTGGGAAATTCCCTCTGGTTGAGAACCTCTGTTCTAATATAATGGTGCTGTTTGATATGTATTTAATATTTGCATATTTTTTGTGAATGGCAACAATATTTATATTTTATGTTTATTGTTCTAGTATGAAAACAAAACAGCATAGTTTTCTTAGCCTCACTGCGCCGCAGGCATGTTTCTGTTTAATATTTCATGTTTTAGAATGTTAGCAAAGTTTCTGTGTCTACAAAGCTCATTCGTTTAGTGCAATTATTATTGGTTCAGTAGGTGAGGCATGTTAAACAGGAAATATGCATACTTTAGAATTCTCTTTAACAAACTTTAGTAATATTGAGGATCATTTGGATGCTGTTAGAAAGACAAGTGGAAATATTTTTTACTATCCAATTACCTTGTCGAATTTATTTTATGTTTATTAATCAATATTCATAGTAATAATGACTAATTAAAATGAAGCTGATCTTAGAAGATTAAAAGGACAAGCAAAATCAACCCTAACTTCGCTTAACAATAGTTTTAATAATCAGTCAAGCCTAATGGAATTAAAAGCACAATTGGAAAGAATCAAAGAAATATTTAAAGAATTTGACCAATATGATGCCGTTTTATGCAAAGAAACTTCTGAAATTGCAGAATTCAGAGCTAAATATTTTGAAACAAAGGTAACGTATTTACCGTCAGGAGTGTTCCAATTTCAGATCTCCCTGCAGTTGAGGATAGCTTTAAATTTCCTCGTTTAAAAATTCCAAGTTTCAATGGTAAATATAGTGATTGGCTTAATTTTAAAGATCAGCACCTTACGACAGTTCAATCATTAGTAAAAATTAAAAAATTCCAATATTCAATAGGATTTTTAAAAGGATGAACCAGCTACTATTATTAAGCAGATTCCGATTTCCGAAACTACCCATGATGAGGCTTGGGACAAATTAATCAATCGTTATGATGGAAAAAAATCAAATTGTCATGTCACTTGTCAGAGCATTCCTTGAGCAACCCAGAATTGCTAACGCTGATTCCGTCAATCTAAGAAAACTATGTGATATATCTGATAAAGTTGTCTGTGGATTAAAATCTCTGGCAAAAAAGCTTCGTCTACAAATGTTTGGCTAATTTATTTTTTGTTAGAAAAGGTCAATCCTGAAATGTGCCATTTATGGTCACAAAACATTGGTGAAGAAGAATTTCCTAAATTAGAATGTTTTTCCTATATGAAAAATATTGGAAATATGAAACCGATATTGTGAAAATAGTAAAGGCATCTCGTATCAAATAGCTGGGCCATGTGTTTAGACATAATGAGGCATTTCTAAAATATCAGCACTGCAATGGTTCTCATACTTTATCAAAGTGTTATAGATTTAAGAGGGCAAGTACAGTACAAAGCCCGTAATCCGGACGTCCATTATCCGGAATGATCTATAATCCGGACCTCAAAGCCACAAACTTACGAATGCGCATAACGCGTTTACGTATGTGCATGCGCGCTTCCGATAGTGAAGAAAGTGACAGAGAGGTTATTGAAAATGAAAAAATTTCGATTGACAAGTTAGTCGGTATTCTCGACATGGCAATTACAGGACTTCAACAGTGGAACTTTGTAACTGAACAAGAAATTATGTCTGTTTATAGAATTAAAGAGAAAGTATTAGCACAAAAAATGAAGCAACTTAAACAACTTACATTATAGAAGTATTAGCACAAAAAATGAAGCAACTTAAACAACTTACATTATAGAAATGTTTATAAAATAAACAAATAAATATAAAGCTTTTTTTGTAAATTTTGATACCCTTTAGATCATACTTGCTCTTTATTTCATAAATTTCGGTTTCATAATTTTAAATGTATAATTTCTGCATACCATCTTACCAGATTTAAATTGATGATCTATAATCCGGAAAAAAACCCAATCCGGAATCCCCAAAGTCCCGACGAGTCCGGATTCCGAACTTTGTACTGTGCTACAAATAGGAAAAATATCATCTGGAAGAATTTATTGTGCTTCAATTGTTTTGGGAATCATCAAGTAAAATTTTGTTCATTGCAAATTTTATGTTTTATTTGTAAAGGAAAAGACCATACTTTACAGCATGAAGATATTAAAAGTAATAATGCAGTGTTGTCAAATTCATCTCCATCTGATGAACAACTTTGTAACTGAGCCAAACAAAATAATATTTCGAGTTTTTCTGTCCAGGGTCAGAGTATTTCATTTTTACAAACAGTGGCAGTAATAATTTGTGATTCTGCTGGTCACGAATGTATTATCCTTTTTGACAGTGGAAGTTAAACTTCTTTCATCAGTGAATCATTTATTTCACAATTAACAATTCAAAGACAAATTCCCCACATTTGCATAAAGGGACCTGGTGATTCTGAAGCAGCATCGATAAACATGTAATATTATGTCTCAAATCTGAGTTAGGAAAAAAAAAAAAAAAAACAGTGTTTTAATACAAGCAATATATTCTTAAAAAATTAACTTCACATTTGCCTTTGGAAAAAGTTGACAGCAATGCCTATTCGAATTTCAATGCGCCCAAACAGAGAGACATGATAATTGGAGCTGACCATTTCTTTTCTCTGATTTAGTCACGGAAAATTGTTGTGTATAAAATTTTAGTTGCTAAAAATACCATTTTCGGTTGGGTTGTATACGGCTGAATTAAAATAGAAGGCTGTGCTCTGCATCCCATTGGTGTTAATCACAATAGTTTGCATATTGAGGATAATGTTGATGCAACACTTAAATATTTTTGGGGGTTGTAATTAACACTCTAAAACCAGAATTCAACAGTTAAGAAGTTTTGTGAGAAGCATTTTAA